GGAAGGTGTGTCCCAGAAATCATAAAATCATGGACTGCCACAAATGCACTAAATATGCCGAAAATTCAGGCAATTACTAATGGTTCCTTAACAATTTACAAGCTTTTCAATGTACAGTATGTCCCGGATTGTCTTTACAAGAGGAAACACTTTTTTATTATCGACATTTTGAGCAAAATACATTCTTCATAAAAAATTTTGCTTGTTCTAAAATGGTTTGGATTAACCATTTTAGAACAAGATTTTTGCAAGTTTATACTTTTACAAATTTTCATTTTAGAGAAAATTAAGAAAAACATGAAAATATGATTGAATTAGTTAGAAGTCCTAAAATTCAAAACGCGTTTCTGTGGTAATATAATTTGGATTTCATTCTTTGATAGATGGTTATTATCAGGTTATTATCAGGTTGACACCAACAATTTGCAATTTTTTCAATCATCATTATATTTTGATGTAATTTTTTAATATGACGAGATGGTTTTGGTGACTATTGTCGTAATGTCATATTACGCTGCATTGGATAGTTTATACTAATAAAAAAAAACGTTTTAGACTAACGATACAGTCCTGGTTTAATAAACATTAATAACGACAACAGAACTAACGATATTAAAGAAAGCATCTGTAATACTTAAGTATTCAACCAGAAAAAAAATGTAAAAAATACCCTAATACTCTCTCCATTGCTTCCTTGGCTGATATAATGCCTGTATACATCCGTTCATACTGTCATTGAGGCTGCATATATCATACTGTGTTATTCTTTCCCATTCTTCTTTAAGAACCAACCGATATTTATTTAATGAAGCTGGTACCGCTTTGCGACCTCTAACCCTCCTGCCAAGCATGTCCCAAACGTCGAACATGATGGGCAGTTTTTTTTAATAATCACCAAAGCCGGCTTGTCATATTGAAAAATAACTTCAAAAAGAAATGATTGTGTGATTGTGATGAAGTGTCAGAATTTTAGAATTTAGAATAAGTGGGAGGGGGGTTAATCTCTGCGACCTTAGAGATCTATTGTGTCCCCCTTTCTTGAGTTATGACTCATCATACAGTCCCAGGACTTCCTACGGAGACCCGTGTCCTTCACAGACGAGGAGCTACGATCCAGGCCGGGTAGACGAAACGGTAGCTTGTGTCGCCTGTTGGGTTTAGAGGTAGGAGGTAGGCTCCCGACCCATGGAGGAAGTGGTAGCTTGTATGCCACTTGCGGAGGATGGTCTCACGCAAGTGACAGCCACCTCTCATGTAGTTCTCTTTGGGTTTGGCCCCTTGGAACTTTCATTGTTACTGTTCCCAGTGGCGCTAGGGGGTTTCCCCACAGCTTCACCGGTGATGTTTTTATTACTATTATTATCAGATTTCATAGTGTTCCCATGAGTCGCTAGGGACAGTCGGTCCACTTCTACAGAGCCCCGCATGTAGAAGTAAGGGGTAAAATACAATGGGGTGCCCCCCGATGCCCCAAGGTTGAGGCTGTCCGTAGCCCCGCCCGGTATCGTTATATGTCTTGGTGCAATTCCCTGGCCACGACACTACAGTCAGGGACAAGACGATGAGTGAGATGCTTCTTAGATCAAGCCAAGTGCTAGGGGGGATTCCCCCCAGCACCTGACCAGGAGCTTCCCCACCAACGACAAGGTCTTGCATCTCCCAGGGGAAGATTGTTGGTGTCAAGTTCATTTCGCTCTTAAAAATTAACCAAGGCATATATTGACATGATCCAAAAAACAAAATGCTCAGGAGACATAGTTCTGACCGAAGAATTATATTTTAAGATAATTTACAAACGGAATTATTGCACAGGGTGCTTTAAAATTAATGTGAAAAAACAACTCCCCGATTAACCCTGTATAATATGCCAAATACTAAAGTTTATAAAAAACTGAGCTTACAAATTAAAGTTGATATAATTATATACAGGGTGCTAAAAAATCATGAAAATAGGGCTAAAAATAACAAAAATATAACACTTTAAATTTGGCTAAAAATTTCTCCGTTGCGTTGTTTTTTGCATCTGATTGTATTATATATAATATAATATATAAACACTCTTTCCGTAGTAGGTACTGAAATTAATAAATTTTGGGCTTTAACATTTTAGAACAGCAAAAAATATTACATTAATTAAAATTCGATCAATAACAGTTTATCGAAGGTGGAAAACGAAAGTATATTACCATGGAAACGCGTTTTGATTGTTAGGAAAAAATTCAACTACATTTTATGTTTCTTTTATTTTTTTACTAAAACGGTATGGATATTTGGAAAAGTATAGACGGGATTAACCATTTTTTTGTACAAGCAAAATTTGTTAAAATTTAAATAAATATGTCTGTTTTACATAATTATTCATATGACATCCATATTATTCTCTTTTCTCATGTTTCTGATGATTTTCCTTCCATTAGCATTTAAAAGAAAATTTCCCCTTTGATATACGAAACTTTAAGTGGCGCGAAGTTCTCTTATTATGCGAAACTTATTTGAACGTACAAAAATAGCAATTTCCTGCTTATTATACACCGTTACTACTATATATTTCGGTGATATTCTTAGACTGGATGTTATTCTTAAGTAGGTATATCAGAAAGTTGAACGTGAGTGTTACATGTTATATGACTGATATGTGACATTTTTATTTTGGCTTTATTTGCTTTTTTTATTTACATATACGGGAGTTTCAGAATGTATCAAATTTTAATATGAAACACTGACTGAAATCTAGCCGCTAAAGTTTATCGTAGATATTTTTTTTACAATAAAAGACGATTATTATGTAGCGAATCAAATATTTATCTCTTTAATTATTTCCTGTTCTAAAACATTTTTTTTTTGGCGCTTTTTTCAAATGTAGAATTTTTTGCTACAGCAGCGCCATCTAAATGGTTCTCTGATAACCACTTTTTGATACACGAAGATAATTCCCTTTACATCGAATCTCCGTAGCTACTTCAAATATACTGCTACACTTAAATTGAATCAGATATTTTTCTGTCTGCTCCTCTACGCGAGAAATTGAATTTTCAAGTAATTATTTCTAGATCAACTTAGAAATATCAGAAGAGAACTAGGGTCAAATATTTTTCGAGTAGAACACAACCTTAATACTAATTAAGGTTGTATGACCATGCTATAAGTTGCAGGAGTCAAGTTGGAGATAATTAATTGCAGTTATTTCTTTCGATGGCGGAAAGGAAAAATAGAAAATAAAAAGGAATAACACTGCTAAACTAAAGGCTAACACATGTTAATAAAAAGTTGGTAAGTTGGTACCTTTTAGTTTCAAAGTAAAGAAATTTTTCCAATTTTGGTTCGCGGTTATTTCCCCTATTCGCCACCTGGGGTCGCGTCCGATGGGAGTTTGGAGTTCTCCACACGGATTTTCTCAAAAACGGACTACGGAAACACAGAATATCTCAAAAACTGCGACTTTGATTTTGATGTTATTACAAATTTTGTTGCAAATATTATTCCTAATCTTAAATTGAAAACCGAGTTTCGCTAGCTACTGTAATTTTGGAGTTACTATTTTTTTAAATTTTTGATCTAAATATTGACATCCTAAAAACAAAATTAAAAAAAGGGGTATAAAAATAAAAAAAAACTCTAAACAAAAATAAAATAAAAAAAATTAAGTCTTTTAATAATTAAATAATAAAATTTAATAAATTTTTAAAATGGTTCTAACAAAAAATATTCAAAATTTACTGAAAATTATGAAGCTATTACTTATAGTACACCTTATCTAGGCAAAATTGTGCAAAAACTCCATTTTCTTATTTTTTGTTGGAGTTGCGCCCCCTAGCTGTTGTTCTACAAACTTGAAAATAATTTCCAGCAATTTCTCATAGCCTCTTTAGTTATAAATATTTTTTTCTGCAATAATACTTTCCGAGAAACAGCCGAGAGCTATTCTTAGTGGGACACCCTGTACATATGTAGGTACTTATAAAATAAAAAAAAAATTATTTAACACAATTAAAAACATAATTAATTTAGGCTAAATATCGCGTTTTCCGCCGGTTCTTTAATTTTCTTGGTTTACCACTACGGGCACCGACTTTTCGTCTGCATGTGTAACATATTTATAGTAACATAATATATAACATACGTTTTAGACAATTTTTGAAATCCCTGTTCATTATAGCAGTGACGGAAAAACTCATTTTTATAAAACAAGAACAAGAAATAGCACGAATCTTGCAGCAAGAACAAGAAATAGGCTTGCAAGAACAAGAACTTGAAATTTCTTGTTCTTGCTTAGCAAGAAAAGACAAGAAATGGCCGAGCATGACAAGATTTATTGCAACCTGCAACACTAATTCGGTATAGGCTTTCCGGAGACTGACCTGCGAAAATATCTAACACAGCGAGAATACTATTTCCAGCAAAATGCCGTTTAACGGCTTCGGTGGACTATCCTGAGACACGATTTTTCTTAGAAAATGAAGCTTTTGTTACCTTAAAATGAACTTCTTGGATTATTTGACTAAAATCTGATGTGGAAAAACACGTTTCACATAAAAAAACATATTCCTAAAAATGTTGTTATTTTATTTTTATAGCTAATTCCCGGGCAAATTCCATAACCGATAATAAAAGAGTCGCGCACTTGTTTATTGCGTTGTATATATCCGTTGCTATGTTTACGCTGACAGTAGTGAAGGTCGCATTTTGACAAATATTGCGAATTGATACATGGTTGTCAGATCAGCTAGTAAATTATCCGGAATTTTATGCATCTTTTTTATCATAGGTTTAGATTACTTTATGATAGTTCATTTTAAAGTAATGAATAAAACACTCATTTCCTTTGTAATATATATTTATTCTATTTTATTATACAAATGACTGCAGTTTTGTTGTTTTAAAACGTATTAGTGTTACGAAACTGCAGTCACAAGTTTAATAAAATATTAAGTGTAATTTACAAAGTTAACTAGTGTTTTTTACATTACTTATTTTTCTATTAACATTTAATCTCTTTATAGTCATGTTAATAAGACCACGACGTACGAAACTCCAGCTGTCAAAAATCTGGATCCTCTTCCTATACCGGAACCGAGGACCGTTGTTTTGGAGCGATCTCAAAACTTAGGATTTGGTTTCGTAGCTGGATCGGAGAAACCCGTCATAGTTCGATTTGTAACTGAAGGCGGACCCAGTGTAGATAAGGTAAAATAACAATTAATATGCAACAATTTGCACATACCTAATTTTCTAAATCCATTTATAAACGATCCACGTACCGCATTTAAGAATTCAGTGTGCATTTCGTTTTCTACGTTTGGAATCACTCATTTAGATTGTATCAACCACGACACTGTCTATTAATTTGTGTGAGATTTTTTTCTGTCTGTGTTAAAATCGTTTCATAAAGAATTTCAAATTTTATGATGACCTTACACATTTTGTTGATGTCAATATTGGACAGGCTAAAGCCTGGTTCACATGGTCTAGGTATACTTGTAGTAGTACTTGTACTGTAGGCCAGTACTGTAGGCCTTGTACTGTAGGCCAGTAAACGTAACCGAGTATTATATGTGAAGGTTTCATTAGAAAAAACGTAAATTTGTTTTTGTAAAATTGTTTTTTTATTGCAGCTGCTACCCGGCGACCAAATCCTCTCCGTCAACGGCGAAGACGTGAAAACGGCGCCCAGGGAGCACGTCATTTCGCTGGTCCGGTCCTGCACGGACACGGTCACGTTGGAGGTGTGTCAGCCGCCCGAGCAGCAGGGAGTGCGAAAGTCCACCCTGCTCTCCGCCACGAAGAGGGCCCGATTGAGGACCAAGCCGTCGAGGGTGCGGTTCGCGGAGAGCGTTTGTGTCAACGGAGCTCCGTTATTTCCGGTGAGTGGGAATGGTTTTGAAATGAGAACATCGATTTGTTTTATTTATAACCGGATATGTACCTAGTGAGCATTATTTTGTCACATTTAAGGAACTGTTCTATATGCGTTTTATTCATTGTACACACACGTTTCGAAACTGTTACTTTTTTGTGCCCAGTATACGTGGGAAGTGAAGCAACGCATTTTAGGCAAAAATTCGGAATTCTGTCAATGCATGTGTAATACACAAATAAGACACTTATCACCCTTTTTATGTCACTTATTTTTTTTTAATTTACCAAGAAAATTATTCTCTCACACATCGTTGTCGCAAAGGATACACATCATGGCACTTTATTTCTTACTAAATAGCGTCTTACTCTAGCTAGTTCAAAAATTACATGCGCCGGAAGATTTTTCGTGTAGTTTTTTATATACAATTATGAAAACCGTTAAATTAGAAAGATAAAATCCGATAATATGTTTACGATTCGCAACTTTCGATTTAATCAAGTCTCGAACCAAAGCTCGAACTTTAAAATCGGATTTTTCCTGAGTGTGTACAACGAAAGGGCAAATTCGCCAAATAGCAATAGCGTCAAAAGGAAATGAAGAAGAATCGTTTTTAGTTTTAACCCAATATCTTTCCAATAACTTTTTCCATTCCACTTTTTCTATCTCCCTTTACAGTTTTCCGACGCTATCCCTTGGGGACTCCATCTTCGAGCATGCGTTCTAAAAGCGTATCTAGAAAATGGCCAAACGGAAACCTTTAAATATGAAAAGTGCATAGAAGTAGTACAACTTGTCGAACGAGTACGTTTAGTTTACTACTTTTCAATTTTTACACTGATTTACAACTGATGATCGTCGTAAAAATATAATAATAATAAACTAATGCATCTCTAAACTTAAAGAAAATACAATTATAATAATCAGATGGACGAAGTCATTGAGAATACTCGACTATACCCTAATCTACTGCAAAATAAGTTGAAGTGAAAATTTTTGTGAAGCTTGATAGAATAAAAGAGAAATAAAAAATGTCTATACCTCTTAGGAGGATTCATCTCTTCAAAAAAGTCTTATGGGTATTTCTCTTTCCTCTTCTTGAGGTGCCTCTTCTCAGCGAAGATTGGGGATAACCACAAGGAATTCTTCTCGTCTTTCTGCTGTTCTAGCGAGTGTTTGGAGATTCATTCTTATCCAATCCCTTGTTGTTTCTCATCCACGACATCTGTTTTCTGCCTGGACCTCGCTTTCTTTCAGTTTTACTTTTGATGATAAGGTGTAACATATTGCATTTTTCGTTCCTGAATATACGACCCTCTTGATTCATGCGATGTCATACGGAGTCAATTGATATGTGCCCGTCCAAGATATCTTCAGCATCCGACGAAATAACGACATTTCAAAGACTTCGATCTTCCTCATTTCAGCGTCAAGGATTCCATTCCATATAAAAGCTCAGAATAAATGTAGCACTTGACCATACGATATCAGGTGTTCAATGTTAGGTCTTTGTACAAAAGAATTGTGTCATTTTGAGGAATGGGCTACGAGCCTCCTCTACATCCTGATCCAAATCCTCGGTGATCCAGCATCCAAGATGCCTGAATTCGTCAACTTGTTCTATGTGATTGTGGTTTGCTTTTATGTTAGTTGGCTGATGTCCTTTTTTAGAACTGACCATGAGTTTGGTTTTACGAACATTGATGTTCAGTTCGCATTCGTTTCCAGCTAATGTAACTCATATTCAACAGCTGTTGTAAGGGAGCTTCGCTGTCAGCTAATAGAAACGTATCATTAGCGTATCATTTACCTTAACACCCAGTCCGCAGCCACTTAAAACCTGTGAAAAAATCTCTTCAGAATACATATCGTTGAAGGACTATTGGAGTTACAATTTAAAAATAATTTTACAAAATACAGAGTGTCCCAAATAAGTAAAAAATATTATAGTTGTATTTTTTTAAATGGAATACCCTGTATATTATCCTATTTTTAGATTCTAGGATTGAAATAAAGGTAAATTTGATTAAGGTTTATCAAACTTAAACCTTACCGTTTTTGAAATATTTTCAATTTTATGAAATTGCAGTAAAAATTTTAAGACTTCATTTCTTCAAGGGTATAAAAGTTTTTAATACTAAATATTTACTGAAGATTATTCATTGATCAGATTTTGTATTGCAATATAAAAATTATACTACGTTATAGAGAGTGTCCAAAAAATATATTAAATAATTACTAGCTTTAAATGGCAATAACTTGTTTAATTTAAATAGAACAACCTGCATATTTTAGGTGAATCAGATGTAAAATTTAATTGCCTATTATACGAAATTGTATTATACGATTTTTTACCTATCTCTTCAAGTTTTCTCAGAAAATCCATTTTCTTATAATTTAGACCTCATTTATCTCTATATCCATGGAATATTGATATTTTAGATTTTTTAAAGCTATTGCTTTAAAAAATGTACAAAATGTACAGGTGGTACAAATAATAATATTGCAAGCCTATTTGTTTACAAAAAGAGTATACCAATTAAATATACCACCATTACTTCCGCCCAAAAACTAGTTAATTACATTGGTACTTAATTGTTGTACTTAATAAATTATTCTAAATAAATGTGGATTTGACTCAGATATCAATATAATAATAAGTTATGAAAACGAACGTCTCTATTATAAATAGGCATTCGTCAAAAATTGAAATATAATTTATAAGGCGTTACTTTTTACAACACTGTCTAATACACATAAAAAATCAGTTTTTTAGTTTTTTAAGCAATTATTATTAATCAACGTAAACAGTCAATATAGTTTGAATACTGGGATCATATTAATTGGTTCTCTATAACAAAAATATTTAAACAGTTTTTTTTTATTTTTTTAATGAAATAAGCGCACTATATCGACAATATTATTATCTGGTACTTTTTGAAAATTTGTTACATCCTTAAAAATATTCTAAAATATCAATATTCCTTGGGTATAGTGATAAATGACGTCTAAATTATAAGAAAATGAATTTTATACGAAAACTTGAAGAGATAGGTAAAAAATTGTATAATACAATTTGATAGACAATTAAATTCTGCATCTGATTCACCTAAAATATACTGGGTGTTCCATTTAAATTAAACAAGTTATTGCCGTTTAAAGCTAGTAATTATTTAATATAAATTTTTGGACACTCTGTATAAGGTAGTATAATTTTTATTATTGCATTACAAACTCTGATCAATAAATAATCTTTAGTAAATATTTAGTATTAAAAACTTTGATACCCTTGGATAAATGAAGTTTTAAAATTTTTACTGCAATTTCATAAAATTGAAAATATTTCAAAAACAGTAAGGTTTAAGAGTGAGAAACCTTAATCAAATTTACCTTTATTTCAATCGTAGAATCTAAAAATAGAATAATATATAGGGTGTTCCATTTAAAAAAATAAAACTATTTATTATTAAATATAATATTTTTTACTTATTTCGGACACTCTGTATCCTGTAAAAATATTTTTAAATTGTAGCTCTAATAGTCCTTTAACGAACCCAAAACTTAAAAATCTAATCGTTTAGCTACAATATTCCGTGTCGTATGGGGTGAACAACCCTGTATTATACCCTACACATAGTTCAATATCAGTAATAATAATATTAAGCAAATAGAAATAAAAAAAATATATGGAGATGATGATAATAATGAAAAACTCACAAATTTATTTACAATGTACACTTTTGGATTTAAACAACTTTCAAACTTTATGACATGAACTTTTCTCCGGAAAGTGTTCTACGAAAGAGCAGTTGGCCAAATAGCGAAAGCGCCAAAAGGAAATAAAGAAGAATCGGTTTTAGTTTTAACCCAATAACTTTCCAATAACTTCTTTAGTTCCACTTTTTCTATTTCCCTTTACAGTTTTCCAGCGCTATCCCTTCGGGACGCAACGCTGCGCTGGCTTCGAACAGACGTTCTAAAAGCGTCTCTGGAAAATGGCCAAACGGAAAGCTTTAAATATGAAAGTTAATTGAAGTAGTACAACTTGTTGTACGAGTACTTTTAGTTTACTACTTTATCTATTATGCATCTCCAGATTTGAAAAAAATGCAATAATTAGAATAATTATTATATGCGGATGAAGTCGTTTAAATTTTCGACTTTGGTATATATACAAGATAAGTTAAAGAGAGTAAAAATTGTCCTATAACAGTTCACGACAATGTCAGTAATCTGGGAATGTTTACATTGAATATAACGGAAAGTGAGTTTACGAAAGGCGTGAAAATATTGTGAAAGAAATAACTGTATAAAACTGAAAAAATCTAATCGAGTTATTTTATTAACAAAAAAATTACGGTGATAATCCAAAACAAGCAAGGGTGTATTTTAAACAGAACACCACATACCAATAAAACATATTAAAAAGGTTTCTTACTTTCTAGCTCAAGCAACTTCTTGCATTTATTATTACATTTATCAATATAACTTACGTACAAATAAAAAAAAATAATGTCGCAAAGGAATAAGTAACATAAATAAAACAAAATATTGTATTAATATAATAACACTAGCGTGTACCAGCGACTTCGTTCGCGTCGAATTAATCATTTGTAATGGTGATGATCAAGCAAAGCAAGAATTTCCATTAACATACAAACTGGATAAAATTTTCTCACATTTATGTCAGCATGAGAAAAAAACAATATGGCGATATTATTATATAACGTAATATTTGAGGGGTAGTTTCATCTCGTTGGAATTTGACTTTCGAAAAATCCGTTTGCCAAAAATTGCAAATTTGCCAGAAATTACTCAACTTTTCGGAACACCCTGTATGATTTTTTAAAAAAATTCAAAATATGTAAAAAACCAAATAAATTATGCTTGTCCAAGCGTTTTTCCGAAAAACTAACCGTTTTTTAAATAACAAATATTGTAATATTTGAGGGGCGTTTTCACCCTCTTGGAATTTTAGATTCGAGAAACCCCTCCTTATCGAAACTCTACACCCCACAATCAATCCGTTTACCAAAAATCAGCTTTAAACGTCAAGCAGTTTAAGCAGAATTGTGATTACTCAATGGTCATATTTTATGAAACACCCTGTATAAATTTATAAAAAGTCTTAAAATATGTAAAACAACAAAATAAAATATACGTGTTTAAGAGTTTTTCCGAAAAACTCACCGGTTTTTAAATAAAAAATATTTTAATATTTGAGGGATAGTTTCACCCCCTTAGAATTCCAGTTTCGAAAAATCCCTTCTTATCGAACCTCTACACCCTAAAGTCAATCTGTTTTTCAAAAATCAGCTTTTTACGTCAAGCGCTTTAAGCAGGATCATGATTAATCAATAACCAGATTTTTCGAAACACCCTGTATATATTTTTAAAAAATCTTAAAATATGTAAAAAAACAAAATGTTTAAGCGTTTTTTCGGAAACTTGACCGTTTTTTAAATAAAAAATATTGTAATATTTGAGGGGCGGCTTCACCCTCTTGGAACTGGAATTTCGAAAAATCCCTTTGTATCGAACCTCTACACCCTAGAATCAACCTGTATGCCAAAATTGAGCTTCTTACATTGAGTGGTTTGAACAGGATCGTGATTAATCAGTATGTCAGTCACTTAAGGATTTTATATATTAGTATAGATTTACTGAATTTAATACCTTAAAAGTTAGTTAATTAACTTTATCTTAATTTTTTTAAATTAGTATCTTTTGACATTATCTCTCTGCAGTACTAAATTTCATTATTTACCTATCGTGTGATACGAGATGGTTTACAAACATTATTTGTGGCTAATACAACTCTGGCCATAGTCTCTAACAAACAGTGTCTCTCGCGGTCCCTGGGTACGGAATATTAACTGTAAACTATGGGTTTGGGGGTCAGCACTTAATTTTCCCTCGAGTTCTCACTACTCTCTGCAATATACTACCAGCTCATCTCCGTCGATCAAAGGCTCGCTGTAGGGAATTCCAAAAAATTCAAGATAACGCAACTCCAAATTCATGAAGATATTGCTCAGCTCGGACATGCTACGGTCTAGAAATTCACCAGCTCACACTGCTGCTGTTCTCATTACCAACAGTATACTTACCACCTAATGCAGAAATCTGTGCTGCTTGATGCTGCTAGCATTGTTCGATCTTTCCTAGGTGATTAACAATAGCACCTTGTCTTGTCCCTATGGACCGGTAAGTCAGCTTTTTTAAAATTGTTCTATAAGCAGTGAATTAAAAAAAAGTAAAGGTTATATTAAATTAGAAAAACGCCAATGAACATAATATAGATCCATTATCTCTAATGAGACGTACAAATATTTAGATATTGCACAGCGGTCCATCGACCACGCAAAGTTGGACGTGAGTTTAAAGCAAAGTACAAGAAAGACTTACAAAACTCTTAAATACAAAATAGAAAACAAATTTCTTGCAGTATAGGTATATAATAAAATTATATAAGGATTCTTGCCACTTAACTGCTTATATAGAAATTTAATTCTACGCTGTGTTTGTCATAATGTGGATCAACCTGCTCTCGCTACCGGTTTCGGAGCCCTACTCCATCATCTGGTGAGCTTGGGCAGAGCTACAAAATGACAACCACAGCGCAGAGATAGTTAATTCCGACTTGTCGAAAAGTGTCGGTTAGATATTAAGTCCCGAACGGGAGATAGCGGCCTGCATGCAATTTTCGACAAGTCGGAATTAACTATCTCTGCGCTGTGGTTGTCATTTTGTGGATCTGCCCAAGCTCCCCTGATGATGGAGTAGGGCTCCGAAACCGGTAGTGAGAGCAGGTTGATCCACATTATGACAAACACAGCGTAGAATTAAATCTCTATATAAGCAGTTAAGTGGCAAGAATCCTTATATAACTTAAATACAAATTTATCATTTGGAAACTTAATAAAAGCGATAAATTCATGGCTGTATACCTGCACTGATATATTCGTTTGGCGTACTTAAGTATTTTAATACAGATTTGCGTGCTCTGGACCAACTCACGCGGGTATTAATGACTATATTTAGAATGCACCACCCTAAGTGGAAAGAATGTATCTTAAGAGAATATAGGGTGGAAGGGGGCTTCTAAATTTGTATGAGTTGTGTAAAAATCAAGAGCACAAAATGAGAACATATATCCAACAACAGCCCGCTTATCCAGATGGTACTAGATCTGCTGTAAACCTTAAGGACTGCCGAGACCAGTTTGAAAATCAAGAACAAATAGAACTAAGGAACAGACAGTGGCGAGAAAAAGTTCTCCATGGAAGATATCTTGCATCTCTAGAACCGGAGAGTGTAGAGAAAGAGCGGTCACTGGAATGGCTAAAAAAGTGTTTCTTTATCCAAAGACAGAGGGCTTTATTGTATAGGTCATAAGAATGAGAATGTTTCCAGTGCTAAAAAAAAATAAAATGTATCAGATATGTTTCGCATTTTGTTGTATAGTTTTTCTTTTTGCAAAAAAAAACAACTTGGGATTCATATCCATCAAGGTTATGAAGAGTCTCATAATAAGTCCCTAAATAATTTAGGAATTAATGCTCCCGATAAACGGAGTTGTTTTTATTTATACTGTGTTATACGTAAGAAATAGTATAGCGGTATTTCGGACCGCACGGTTAGCGGTTAATGGTTAATATTAATTAACTAAAAATAATGTTAAGCGCTTAATATACAGACCGGACCACCGTAGTAGTAACATAGGCAAAACCGGACGAATTAGCGTATACCCGTCCGCCGGATAAAAAGCAGGCGAAAAAATGCGATAAAATAAAAATAGATAGATATGTGATAAGAATGTTACAGAATTTGTATTTATTCGTGTTTTAATAGCCAAAACGAATACATAGATTCTCGCTACAGCTCTCGTGTAAAATTTATTTTTTAAGTAAAATAATGGATGTTTACGAAGTTCGTGAAAAAATTCAAATTGTAAATTGTAAAATGGTATTTCCAAAATAGGTCTTATCGGGATATACAAATAATTTTTCCACAAACTTTTGTAAACAGGCCAATTCCATCTTTATCTACTATATCAAGAGTTATTAATAATTTTGCAACACATGGGTGCGTGTCCCCACAAAAACACAAAAAGCCTGATGTGTTGATTAATGAAGAACAGGAGTTAAAGCAAGTGTTCGTTTGTGCTACCGCGGATCAAAATCCCGCGTTTTCAAGTAATCAAATTGCTGAGGTGGTTGCCCTGCCCACAATGCCCGTATTGTTCAAGAATATTTGAACAATACTTTTCCTAACCGTTTAATTAGTGGACATGGAACTATTTTGTGGCCCGCTAGATCACCAGATCTTTCTCCCAATGATTTCTTTTTTTGGGGTTATGTAAAATCCAAAGTGTATGGTCATAATAGGGCTAATAAGCTGGATAAGCTTCAAGTAAAAATACAAGAGGCTTTCCAAACTACTAGTCCTAATATGTTAGCCAATGTCAGACGAGGATTTTACGACCGCCTAGGCTTCTGTCTAGCACAAGAAGGTGGTCTTTTTGAACACTTGTTATAACTTTTTTTTATTTAAAGTAATATTATAGTTTTTTTTGGGTTTAGAGAATTTATTTATTTTTAGTTTTGGCTTGTAAACACACTCAAATAATAAATATTTAAGTAATTTTATTTTAAATGTTACCTTAAGTGAAGGCAAACACTTAAAATGAAAATAATAAATACACGGCACTCCTCGCGTCATATTCCTGGTTTGTCACGACCGACCCGTCCAAGCACAACTGCATCTGCGTACTGCCTGATCAGCCGACTAGCCGGCAGTGGCTCTCGAGTAAGAACGCAAAACGGGTAAACGTAAATTCGTCCGGCAACTTGCTATGTTACTAGTAGCCTGGTCTTCTCTGTATATTTTTTCCTTTTCCAGCCATCGGCTTTCTCCTTGGGCGACCTGTGCGTCCCGCCCATGGCCAACGTCCTCAAAGTGTTCCTGGAAAACGGCCAGACCAAGAGCTTTAAGTACGACGCGTGGACCACCGTCCAGGACGTGGTCAATTCGCTCCAGTCGAAGCTGTGCATCCAAGCCAGCGAGCACTTCAGCTTGGTGGTCGAGCACATTAAAAGCCTGCGGAGGAACAAGCTGACGCTCCTCGATCCGCAGGATTTATTGGCGAGGGTAAGTAATCCAATTATAAAGCTCTTAGAGCGCGGCGTGGCGTTGTTTTTCCGCCAGTTGCCTTGGGGAATCGTTCTTGTTTGGGGATTTATTTTTCCTGTTTTTTGATCGGTGTATCTATCAAAGCGTAACGGTAATAGGATTTCGGGATTGATGTATTGATAAACTGGCGGATGTGATTGTTTTTTTCTTCGCAGAATAAAATGTTACTGTCATTAAATAAGCAATCATTTCAAATAAATTAAGATAAAAAAAATTTGCACTGAAATGTAAAACAGTGGTTAATCATCATACAAAAATATATAGTAAAAAACATTCCTACCAAATGTTTAAGGTATACTAAACTTACTTAGTTGTTACATAAATTCTTTCCACTTATTTTTGCTAATATTTTGGCTTTAATTAATGTTAGTCTTCTATCCTGTACTTTCTTCTGTATTAAGTCATTCCATGTGTTGGTCGGTCTTCTCCTTGGTCTTTTTCTCTGCATTTTAGCTTCCCATACTTCTTTTACTGGTATATGGTTGTTCATCCTAACCAAGGTGTCCATACCACCAATGCTGGCATTGTTCAATTCTATACAAAATCGAATCTACTTTCAGTTCCTCTCTTATTAAGCTGTTCCTTATTTTATCTTGTCTTGTTAACCCAAGTACTCTTCGTATATATTTTGAATCTTACTCTTCAATCTTTTTCTAGATTTTTTTTAATTATAAAACTGTGATTAATGGCCTGATACAACCGATCATACTGTGTTCTTCCTGTTCTCCTGTGCTTTTGATGTTCACTCCCAGACATTTCTACGAGTCGACTTATTAATGCCATTTATTTCTATCTTCATATTAATTTATGTTTTGCCTAATTTAATTAATCTCATTCATTGGTTGATTAGCTCTCTTATTGTGAGATTTCTAAATTTCTTTTCAGTTCTTTTTCGCTGTTAGCCATAATCGCCAAGTCATCTGCAAATGCGCTTACATACTTTTGTTGTGTTTTGCATCATACAGCAATTAATATACAGGGTGTTTCAAAAAATATGTGCCATCTCTGGTGCGGAGATTCCTCACGTAAAAATAAGATTTATTTATCATACCAACATAGGTCCGATTCTGCTTTGTTTCGTAACTACAGGGTGTTAAAGTCTTAATATTTTTTCCATTTATTATAATTTTCTTCCAAGTACTTTAGCGTTTCGAATGAAAAAAAACACTAAAAAAGAATAAAAAAAAACACTAAAAAAAAACACTAAAAAAGTGTCGACATATTCACCAGGGACGTGCATATGGGTTATCACTGGAATATTTTTCTAAAAAAAACATGGAGGCCACTGACTTTTTTCCCTTGTTAGCTAAATAGATTAAGCAGTTTAATGCCAATTCAAAGTTGTCTTTTGATATTTTGTAGATTTCGGCCTCCTTGATGAGATAACGCAGTATATAGCACTTGATGAGATAACGCAGTATATAGCAACCTTTAAAAAAAATTAATATCTTTCAGCCGAAAGTTTTAAATAAGTACTCATTGATTCCTCATCAAAAAATATGGAAAAAAGTTCGTATAAACATGGGTATAGAAATGCATAGTTTTAGAGTTACAGGATGTTAAAACTTTTTAAAATTAGGTTTTATGTAATTATCTTAAATACCATTATTTTCTTTTATTTGAAATTGCTGTAGGTTGGACTAATAGTAATAATAACTAATAGTAATAATATTTAATAATAAATAAGGTAAATATATATAATTTATTAGTTTTATTTTCATTTTATTAATTGTGATTAATGAAATTGCGTTTATCTCATCAAGGAGGCCGAATTCAACAAAATATCAAGGGATAATTTTTAATTGGCATCACAACAACGATAAATTTTAATTGGCCTACACAATTTTGATATCAAAAGAACAAAAGTCAGTGGCGGACATGTTTTTTTAGAATTTAATGAAGTATCCAGGAAGAAATTTTTAAAGCGAAAAATCGGCTTTAAATATACTAAATTAATTGTATTACACAATTTACACGTACTTGGATTTTATATATTTTCTACTTAATATTCTATATTTTCTCAGCATTTTTCAGCGTAGAAAATTAATTTTCTACGTGTCGTTACCCAACTCTGCATATCACTAATCAGCTTGACAGAAATTAACCATCAGCCAATTTCAGATAGCTTCGCGTCCCGGAGCCCACAAACTGCGGTGCCTTTTCCGGGTGGCGTTCGTGCCTCCGTCCGCCGCCGCCCTCGCCCAAAAAGACCTGAATGCCCTGGACTACCTGTACACGCAGTGCTGCAACGACGTCATCCAGGAGCGGTTCTCTCCCGAGCTGCAGTACGACACCGCGCTGCGATTGGCAGCGCTGCACATCTACCAGCACGCACTAGTAAACAATTTGCAAGCGAACAAACTGACTGTTAAGGTCGTAGAGTGAGTATTTTTTAACTTTTTCACTGGTAAATAGTACGCATGCGAGACGCATATCGCTGCTTTCCAACAAAAGTGGCACATGCAAAATTTTGTGATTTTGAGTTTTTCAAATCGATAGTATTAAAAAAAACGTCGCTAATAATTCACCGCTAGGTGTAATCCGGACCAACTGTCACTTTTTGATTATTAGAATATGATTAACGTGGAAGACTGTACCAATTTAGTTACGTCATGGTTGCGTCGTAACATTTGTGTACTTTGGATCATACTTTTTGTGAAAAAAAGTCTCAATACAAAAAGTGCCAGTTTCGTGATACAATGGTGATACATATTTGAGACCCGCTTTACAGGGTCGCGAAACAAAAAGTTACTGTGATGAAAACTTTTTTATTCGTATCTTCGTTCTTATCTAAAGTATCTTTGCTGATATATTATTGATCCAGATTAAATATAAGACAATTATATTAAGTCAGGTAGACTGATTTTATTAAAATTTTAGGCGAGAGTTCGGCTTAGAACGATTCGTCCCTCCGTCGATTTTAGAAAACATGAAGCGCAAAGAAGTGAAGAAACTGGTAGGCCATTTCCTGAAATTGCACGCCAGCATGGCCGGCCCTGGAAAGCAACTTACCGCTCTTCAAGCCAAGTTGCATTACTTGGACATCGTCAGCCAGTTGCCCAGCTACGGAGCCAAGTGTTTCTCGGCTGGACCACGAGGGGATACAATGGAAAGAGTGATATTGGTCAGTCCCAAGTTTGGAATTAGTCAGATTACTGGAACAAGAAATTCTGTTGTAAGTTGTTTCATTAATACTTTACTGAGCTTTGAGACGTAAATTGATGTGTTTAGTAAACTTATATAACTCTGTGAATAGTAATATGTAAAATATAACATATATTTAGTTTGAATGTTATACGGTAATAATAAAAATTCAACTTTGTTTTCGTATATTTACCTAATTATTCAAACTGCTAATTGGGGTTTTGCAAGTTATAAAATAAATATATCATCATTGTCATTATTTTCAGCTCATTCACCCATTTCCAATTATGGTATAATCTCTTTCGCATATTTAGATAGTCGTTTTGTAGTTGGGTCCTTTGTTGTCTATGCGGGCCCAAGTTGTCCCTACTAATTTCTTAATATCATGGTCATATATCAGGTTTGGTCTTATTCTAGGTCTCTTAATTCCTCGTGAGTACCATGCTGTAATTTTTGTTGTCCATTTGTTGTTCGCATTTCTTGCAAAGTGCCCTGCCAATTGCCACATGAGGGATTTGATTCTGTGGATGATATCTATTACTTGGGTCTTTTGTCGTATCCACTCTATTCTTTTACGGTGTTCTCAGTTATGTTCTTGGTTATTCCCAGTTTATTTTGTTCCATTGAGCGTTGTGCGATTTGCAGTTTCCTTATAAAAAGTAAATATTTAATAATAATATGCAGGGTGAGTTTCCTACGATGTTCTCTATGGGTATCTCGGAAACTACTAAAATGAGGTTTTTTTCAAACTACCCCGACCCACCCCTAGGGTGCAAGCCACCCCCTCACTTCTAACCTCAAGATAGCGATACCCCACTTGTGACACCTCTCTGGAAAGCGTATAAAAAATGCTGAACGACTGTCATAAAAAAGGACGAAAAAAATAGAGCCTAAAAATAAAACAAAAATGTCAAAACGTGTCAAAATCAATAGCATGAATTTTATTTTTGTATTCATGAACCATTGCGAGAAAAAAAAGCTGGTACAAAGAATTTATTATAACTCTTAATGAAGACCTCATACACTTTCAGCAAGATGGAGCCCCTTCGCATTATTCTATTGTCACACGGCGTGGTTGGATAAATATTATCCAAGGCAATGGATTGGCAGAAGGGGTCTAATCGAGTGGCCGCCAAGGTCACCTGATCTCACTCCTTTAGACTTTTCCTTGTGGTAGTGTAACCCCACAAGTGCAATCCATAGTCTACAAGAAAAAACCAGGTTCGTTGCAAGAATTGCGGCAAAGGAGAACTGAAGCATGTCGAAATATTCCGAGAGAGACTTTCCAAAAAGTCGTTTGTATTTTTGTATGGAACAAAACGGCTGTCATTTTGAGCAATTATTAAAATAAATTATCATTTTAAATTTCTTTCAAATTGTCACACCTACATTTCTTGTCACTAACCAGTAATTCAGTTGAAGTCTGTATGACAATCGTTTAGCAATTTCAATTAGCTTTCCAAAGAAGTGTCACAAGTGGGGTATCGCTATCTTGAGATTAGAAGTCAGGGGGTGCCACCTAGGGGTGAGTTGGGGTGGTTTGAAAAATACTTCATTTGCGTCATTTAGCTGGGTCCCAATTTGTAACTTACGCAGAAAAAATCACCTTTTTCATTAATGTCCACCTAATTGTTCGTGTAAAGGTAATTTTTCAATTTCACCCTAAAAACTTTATGATCATCATTTAGCATTTTTCATAAGTTTTCCAAAAAGACGCCACAAGTGGGGTGTTGCCATTTAAGATTTTCAAGTGAGTGGGGGTGCCTCCTAAGGGGTAGGTCAGGGTGGTTCAAAAAATACGTTATATGTATTCCCCCTCCATATTATAGAAACGGTATTTTTTATTTTTTTGATATCTTTTTTGGTTTAAAAATTATAGCCATTGTAAGTTTTCAGTGGTCCACCCTGTATAAGAATCTCATTGTATTGTATTTAGTGGTAAAATCACAACTCCTGTTAGTTTCAGCCAGTCCCGATAGCAAATATCGAAGACATGCGACGAATCGAAGTAAAAACAGATGACGAAATATCCCGCACCGTACTGGTCACGCTCCAGGACAACAAGCTCCTCTCCATTTCTCTTGAAGACAGAGACGCCATCGAGCTTGTTCTGGTACTTCGCGGCTACTATAAACTCAACACCGGCCAAACTCTACCCGTCGACCAAGAGGAAGCACCGCCTATGGACGATTTGGCACCACCGTACCTCTCGCAGCACAGGGTCGTACCGGAGAAGTGGAGTTACATCGAGCAAAGCGCTATTAAATCGGTTTGCTTCTCCATGCAACCGACGTATCAGAATCTGAACAAGAAGACGAACGGATTGTATAATACGGTGGGCAGGCATTCCAAGCCGCCGTTTATTAGTGGGTATAGTTTGGATAGTAATATGAACAGTTCGATGTCGAACGGTAACTACCACCATGCAAGTTTCGATATCAATTCGTATGGGTATAGAAATTCGGATCCTGAAGCTGGTATTGCTGAATCGAGGAATGATGAGGTACATTACAGTTTTTTTATAATAATTACATTTTTTTTATTTTAATCTATAACCACAAATTACCTATAACAGATGCGAAAGAAAGCGACTGCATCGGAAACCGTTCAGCAAACCCGACACGCCTATTGAGTGGTGTAAATACACCAGTCGTTTAGTCCGGAAACCCATGCTGTGTAGGATTTTTGATGAACCTTTTAACTGTTATTTCTAAGTTTTGGTAATTTGTATATCTTATTTAAAATGGGATACAAATGTGTTTATTTATAAGGAAAAATAAGATATTTATAGTGTAAAAAATTAATTTATTTAACAAAATTTAATTAACAATGTGACAAAATAGTTACCTTTCTATTGGTTCTATCGGACTTTTTTCGACTATATAAATCTTTATTTGTAAACTTTAATACATCAAATATTTTCAATCTAATAAATAATTTAATGATGTAAATAAGAGGAAATTTCTCACATGGGTGGTCAAATTCTATAGTTTTCATTTATCAAACAGTCTCTGAGAAATGTTTTCAACTCAAAATGCCTTTAATTATGTTTGACTACATCAATTAAAAGGGTCTTCAAATACATCAATGTGATATTTGTCTAAAATTTGCAAAAGAATCCGAATCTCTGGATAACTCGAAATTATTTATCCATTTAAAAGCCTTTGATCATGAAAGTGGAAAAATTTGTTCATTTTATTTACTGGAAATTGAAAAATTATTTATATTAAATTTTGATGAGTATTGCACTGAAGAAAACATTGAGGCTGTTTGATATAATGAAAACTATAGAATTTGACCACCCATGTGAGAAATTTCCTCTTATTTACATCATTAAATTATTTATTAGATTGAAAATATTTTATGCATTAAAGTTTACAAATAAAGATTTATATAGTCGAAAAAAGTCCGATAGAACCAATAGAAAAGTAACTATTTTGTCACATCTTTAATTAAATTTTGTTAAATAAATTAATTTTTTATACTATAAATATCTTTTTTTTCCTAATCTCCTATGAACTGATATAATATGACGAGTAATCTATTAAATTACTGTGAGATTATATGCCTCAATAACATATTGGTGCAGATTATTTTCACCCAAACTATACATTGATGCGGATTTTCTATGAACTCTTTCTGAAGGTCACAGAAACCTGAACGCGGAATTCGGTGTTCTTTCGCATCTGTTATAGTTAATTTGTGCTATAACCTAAATGAATAAAAGTTGGACATGTTTCCAGACATATACAGGGTGTTCTTTAATGAAATGCTACTACTTTAGAAATAAAATATATTTTTTTTATATATCAAAAGAAGCATTTTAATGCATGGAAGACGTATATCAAATATAACATCAGAGATATTTTGAAAATAAATTAGAAAATTTTACTACCCTTTATCTCAAAAGTTAGGATGTTTAGGACATATATTCATATGAAGTTTTTTTCTTAGAATAGGTTCAAGAATCACCTTCTTAAATATTAGCATGTCATTAAGGAATACTGAGTAGATACTAAGTACTCTGTCTGCCTGATGGTCTGTTTTTGAGTACTCCTTCAATATATTTGCGATACACATGCATATGAGGATGAGGAGTGTGTCCCAAATATTCACTACTTTCGTGTATATTTATCTCCCAAAATACTTCGTTTTGGAGATACAGGGTGTAGAAGTTTTATTTTTATATCAGTTTTTTCCAAATCATTTCTGAACAAACGTCAATATTTGGATAAAATTTGGTGTCTGGGTGTTTCTTGACATAAGAAATCTGATTTTGGTGTCAATATGACAATTGCTCGTAGGCGGCACCACTTACATGTGTTTTAACTTATTTGAAGAGTAATAACTTGTTATCTGTACCTATATAAAACTAATGAGTGATAAAATATATATTTCCAAATTTTTTACATAAAATCTGTCTCTTGGTAAAAATCGCTACGAGCAACCGTTTTTAAGATATTTGGAACGAAAATAGTCATTAATGACAAAAAATTAACGTGTTAACTACATATTATATACTAGTTATTTGACTGGTATGATGAATTTGGGAACTTTTTTATTTTTTAAGCTAATCCTGATTATTCTAGAAAAAACATGATAAAACAGTTTTTGTTGACTCTTTGACACAAAAAAATTTCAAATATATAGATAGACTAATAACTAACCACTCTACATGTATAATTTTTGTCAATTATGACATATATTGACTAGAAAGGGACTGGCTAAGAAATTATTTGGAGAACATCGAAATAAAAATTAAATTTCTACTGGTATTTTAGGACATAAATTTATACGAACTTTTTTACTTATTTTTATCTGCAGAATATGCTCTCGAAATTTCCCGAATACAATTCGGACCACCCTGTATAGAAAATAACATGAAGCATCTCGATATATTTCCAATGATATGGCACGCAACTAATGTTACATCTGAATTTGTTTTATTTTTTTTTATATGCAATTTTCAGGTATTGAGGCGAGTCCACGAAATGCACCAACTAGTTGAAAACTCAGAAAGGTACCTTACCGAACAAGAAAATCTCGAACGACTCCAACAGCTTTCTGAATGGCAAGAAACCAGCGTAGACTTGGAAAGTGATACCGACGAACCAGGCAAACTAAAACACAGCGACTCTCTGCTTCTTCTAAATAAACTCCATTGTCTTGAAAGAAAACCCTCATTTTCACACGCCACTGTCGATTTGCTGAGGCAGGAAACGCTACAATCTGAAAGCGATAACGACTCCTTGTATACGCCTCACAACTCTCCTAAGCAGAAGAAACCTGATAAAGATAACAGAATCAGTTTTGGGTTGAGGTCTCCAGACAGTAGTCATAAGGAAGACGATTTGGAGATGTACTTCCAGAAGATGAGGGAGCAGAGGAATAATGAGACGAATGAGTTGGATTCCATTAATGATATTTACGTGTTTGATCCGGATATTATTGATTTGACTATGATTCCTCCACCCGTTACTCCGGATGAATTGGATGCTGCTGTATCGACTCCTATAAATTTACCACCAAAATCTTTTGCCGATTCAACAGATAATTTAAATAAATTAGGTAATTTTTCTTTAGAATTTTTTTAGAATTTAGAATGAGTGGGAGGGGGGTTAATCACTGCGACCTGACAGATCCATTGTGTCCCCCTTTCTTGAGTCATAACTCATCATACAGTCCCAGGGCTTTGACAAAAGCCAGTATCTGGGACGGTTTTATAGAGGGTAGTTCTCCATCTCCAATATCAGTCGTACCAAAATTCATGGTACGAATGGTTGTCGTCTCGGCGCACTCAGTGATGAGGTGTACTGGTGTTTCCCCATCTTCCCCACAGAATCTGCATTCGCCGTTTCTTCTTAGTTTCAATCTACTGAGGTGTTCATTGAGGAGACAGTCTCCTGTTAAAAACCCCGTGACAATCCGAAGATTGTTCTTATTTAAACCCAGGAAGATCTGTGATTTTTCTTGATCATAAGCCCTCAGAAACTTCTTCGAGTGTCTTAGACCGTTGCAAGATTTTTATTCCAGGTTGCGGATGGAATCTTCCAAGTTCTTGAGTTCCGCCTTGAGTTGGTTTGGTAGTGTTCTGGTCCAGTTAGTGGAGTGTTCGCTCCTTTCCTAGCTAGATTATTTGCTTTTTCATTGCCTTCTATCCCTTGGTGAGCAGGCACGCAGAGTAGGAGGACTTTGTTTTCTTTGCCTAATTTATTCAGCTTCTCTATGCATTCTTTGACCAATTTCGAATTGATTGATACTGAGTTGATCGCTTTTAACGCTGCTTGACTATCAGACAAGATGGCTATTTCTTGTTTCCGATAGTTCCTATCTAAGATAAGTTGTACGCATCTTTCGATAGCGTATATTTCTGCCTGTAGGATACTAGGGTAAGTACCCATTGGTTCGGAGTATTTAGCTCTCGGCCCAAACACTCCGATCCCTGTTCCCGTATTGGTTTTGGAAGCATCAGCATACCAAGTTATGGTATGGTCTTTTAACTGCTGGGCAAGCGTTTCGCTCTTCCAATCCTTTTTATTGCTCAATACTACATTGAGATGTTTCTCGAAGTTGTACGTTCTTGGCATATCGTCCACTGGGAGTTGCAGGAGTGGTATTTCCTTTTTGAGGGTGTTCCAAGCCCCTGATCTGACAATTCTCCCAGTACTAATTCCGTTAGTGACCATTCTAATCATTGTCGCATTGGCATATCTACCAATGACAATGTGCAGTGGTGTTAGATCTAGAATGACCTCCATTGCTGCTGTTGGACAGGTTCTCATGGCTCCTGTGATGCAAACGCATGCTAGTCTCTGGACTTTGCATAGGTTTAGCCTTGCCGTCCGTTGCTCTAGTTTTGTGTACCAGGCAACTGCTCCATAAGTAATCATGGGTCTTACTATCATGGTATACATCCAGCGCAAAATGTTAGGGGAGCAGCCCCATCTATTTCGGGCCAGTCTTCTGCATATCATGAGAGCCTTTATGGCTTTGCTGGTAGTGTTCTTAATATGCCTGTTCCACAGGACTTTACTGTCCAGGGTTATTCCCAGGTATTTAACTTCCTGTGTTGGCAGTATTTCCTTTCCATCTAGTTGGATTCTTTTCAAGTTTTCCAGACTTCGCTTTCTGGTGAATGGCACTATCGCGGTTTTGTCTGAGTTGATACTCAGCCCGACAGTTCTACACCATCTCTCAGTGATACGGAGTCCTCTTTGGATAATATCACACAAGGTGCCTTCATGTTTCCTCCGAGCGATCATGACTATGTCATCTGCATACCCAATGCAGTGTATTCCCGCTAGAGTTAATTCATCTAGTAGATCATCCACCACCAAGCTCCACAGCAAAGGGGAGGTTACTCCACCTTGTGGAGTTCCTTGCGTTGCTTTAACAGCTACAGTTTTGGTGCCCATCTGAGCCTCTGCTGTTCGTGTTGACAGCATTTCCCAAAACCAGCGAATAATAGTTCTGTTCACCCCTCTTGTTTCTAGAGATTGCCTGACCACCTTATGTGGTATATTGTCAAACGCCCCCGCAATATCCAAGAAGGCACAAATTGCTGTTTCTTTGCTATCCAGACTTGTCTGTATTAGCTCCGTTAATTGGTACAGAGCAGTTTCTATGGATCTGCCCGTTCTATATGCATGCTGACTATCATGCAGTGGTTTAACCTTTAGATGATTCTCTCCAATATGGTTGTCAACTACTTTCTCCAGCGTTTTTAGTATGAACTATGTGAGACTAATAGGCCTAAATGACTTGGGATTTGTCCAGTCAGTTTTGCCTATTTTGGGTATGAAGATTACTTTTGCTCTTCTCCATGTGGTTGGTATATATCCCATCGCTAGACTGCTTCTTGTAATGCTTAGTAGATGGTGAGTAGCTATTTGCTGACCTTCCTTTGGAAGGGCAGGAAAGATCCCATCCACTCCTGCTGCTTTATAGGGCTGAAAGTTGTCGATCGCCCATTTCATAATTTTTCTTTACATCAATAATTAATTCCAATAATATTCTTATCTAACTATTATCCTAAAATAAAATACAGAATGCTCATAAAGTTTTATGATTAAGCGTCCTTTTTATGGTGACAGATAATAATTGTTTTGTTGGACTAAGGGGTATTTCAATAAGAGGCTTCGGATGTTGATAAGGAATAAAAGAATAGTTTAATGACATATATTGGGACACCCTGGACAGAACAGAAAAGATATAAATAAATTAAAGTTAAGCATTTTTAAAGAAAGAAAATACTATATGTTTTCTATATTTTTGTTAGAAAACATCCTGGGATTAAAAAAACTTCAATAAAATTTTATATTTTTTTATTATATTAATATTTTGAGATTTATTATCTTTTACAAACATATTTTAATTCTAGATATATTAAATGAAAACGAAGAATTAGAGAAGTTTTTGGCCAGCGTTACAGTACCACCACCAACTCAGAAAGTGACACCAGCGATCGAACTGACACCCGAGGAGATTATGGCATACATTATACCGCCTCCTCCAAATAAACTCAGTTTGGAAAACTTGACAGAACTGGATGAGAAACCTAGCGAAAATGGCGGTGGTACTGTTTTCAAAGATACGTCACCGAAAAGTCCAGAACCATTGCAAGTGATCGACTACGAGACCCTGGATAGGAAGGGTAGTTTGAGTTGTTGTTCGAAAAGTAAATCTGAAAAAAAGGTTGAAAAGTATGGGAAAAACGACGACTATAAATCGAACGGTACCATTCAGCCTTTGCCGAGGAGGAGTTTGGATGAAAAACCACCTGAAAGGCCTCCGAAAGACATTTTGAAGGTAATTGTAAACATTGTTAAACATTGATTTGTAAATTGTAATTGTAAACATTGATTTGCAATTTTTTTTCTCGAGCTCCTACACCGAGTATAGATAGATAGATTCTTTATTGTTCAAATATTGTAAATACAATGTGGAACACATGGCGTTCATTGAATATATCCACTTTTTCTGCAAGTTAATACACCATAATTGTTAAAAAGTTTAACGATATTGAGAAGAACTTCAACGCACAAGTCACAGTACAGCTATCTAGCAACTATCGCACCTGATCGTTCAACCTTGTGGCAAGTGAAAAAATGCGTAAACATCTAGAAATAGTAAGAAAAAACAGCAAATTGGTTGAAGGAATTTACCCTTATCATTTACTCTGATAAATGTTTAAATAAACTTTTCAAATTTCAATCCTTCATATTTTCTCAATGACTCGACCGATTTTCAAAAACGAAGCGGGAAAATATAGAGAATAGAAAGCTCTTTTCATTGCGGCGCCACTTGACCCCCCTTCCCATTTGAAAAAAGTTGGGGGATGACACCCCCGCTTAGAGGGTTGAAGATTTTGCAATTATTTTTGGGGCAAAAGTCCCCCTCACAAACAAAATTGACGTGTTTTTGGATTTTCTGAAAAAAAAAATTACCCTGGCCGTTATGCCTTGCGGAACGTTTTCGATGGGCCACCCTGTACAGTTTGCAAAAAATTAAAACAAGCAAATAGGGCTAAAAATATAACACTTGAAAGTTGACGAAAAATTTTTCCGTTGCGATTTTTTTGCGTCTGAGTGTAGATAGCGATCTGTAAAATATATTGCTGTTTATTTCGGTGTGTATTGTAGGAAATTGATTATACTCCAATATTGTATGTGCACATGGTACAAAGAATACAAGGTATGATCGATAGCGGCTCCAATTTCGTTCAGTTCGCGCATACCACCTGTGACGTCACTAGGAAAATAATGAATAAATAAAAAATAAAGAAAGTTGACAGGAGATCTGCATTTTTTGGGGTTATGGTTAAGAATTGTTTATTTTTTAGTTCGTTTAATTTCATAATTACTAAAACCAGCAGTTCCAAAAATATATTTAAAAATAATTATCTATTAACATGGATTTGGACGATAATAATAGGTAAGAATACTAAATTTTTCTATATTCGGTATAAAATTGTTTATTAGGTTTTTAGTTTGCGATGTTTATGGTAAATAATTTTCATGTTCATGGCCTCTGAATTCACATGAGGACAGAGATGAGGATATCTATGGAAAAGTAACCACAAGAGGAATTGAACTAAAAAATCATTTAAAGTGATAAATAACTGAAAATAAAAAACTGAAAATCATTTAAAAAATGTTGGGAAGTTGAAGTTTCCCATCGAAAAGTAGAAAATGCCAATGCAGATGAATGTATTGTAATTGTGATAGAAGTAATTCCAAGGGTGAAGTCTAATATAATTAGTGACCTGTGCTTCTTTTTATATGTAGATGTTTCAGGTTTTGAGAATAAATCGGTTGAACGAAACCCAAAATTTAGAGGAAGTATTTGCATACCCAGAATATGACCATCAAGGATTATATAGCTCAAATTTCCTTTAATGGTAGGCAATTATTCAATGCAAATTAACTTTTTAAGTGACTGAAATATTAAATAGTTTACAATATGGTATATCACTAAAAATATATTACTTTTACGTACAATTAGTGCCCGATACATTTCAAAAAGTAGAATATTATTTTATATTAAATGAGGTGTTGTACCAACAATCAATTTATATTAATACCGGAGATTAAAAAATAACAGAATAAATAGTTCTTTTTTTATACTACAAAAATAAACTATAGAATACAACAATATTTAAAAAATAAATAAAAAGTTATGCCCCGGCCGAGATTCGAACTCCGGTCTCTCGCTTCCTAGCCCGACTCCTTACGCACTGCTCCACAGTAACTTGCTTAGCGATAATTCAATGACGGTATATAAACAAAAAAACAGGTTTATAACAATATCTTGATGATTTGAACTGGCGCGCGGAGAGTGCTGACCAATAGCGCCAGTTATCACCTGTGACGTAGCGACCAACCTGCGCAATATCATACCTTGTATTCTTTGTACCATGGTATGCGCATTCTTGAAATTCGTTTCGCAGACACAGATCTAATAAACGTACATTAAACAATTTTCAGGAACGACAACGGTCGAACTCCTTAACCTCCGCCTCGCCCACGCCCTCAGACAGCCCGGACACTACAGCCCCCAAACTACCACCCCGCGGCAGCAACATCAACCACCAAACCTCTCCTCACTTGCTCCTGCCTCCCACCAAACCTCCCCTTCCTCCCGTGCCGCCCCTGGACACCCTGCGCCAGAAGAAAGCCATGCTGATGCAGGCCAAACAGCAACAGCAGCCCGAGCAGAAGACGGCCAGCATCGGCAGCCCTCACCTGCAAAGGAACAAGCGCTCGATCAAGGAGATCAAGGAACAGTTGGGCATCTACGAGCCGAGAACGGTGAAGCACGCGAGCAGCGCCGTCACCACGCCCACCTCGCCGCACATAGGTAAAACAGTAAGCAGAAACACGGATTGTTTGCCTTATTGGGTTGTTGCTATGAGATGTTTTTTTGATTTTGATTTTTTTTCTCTAATGATTTTTGTTTTTTTTTAAATGCTTATTATCAGACAGTTTTCAACTATTGAACAAAAGTAAAGTAAAGATTTGAAGTTAACGTCTCCTTTTTGCTGCCAGGGCTAATCTGGATGGGGCCTACTTTGTACAATGTCCTACCGACTTGGCAAGTGCCTAAATCGACTCTTATTCACGAGATAGGGGAAAGGGGGGCACTTTCGGCATGTTTAGCTTTGGGCAACAAATTTGGCAAAACAGTAAAAAATTAGAAAAAACTAATTGGAAGCGATGGAAGTGTTGTCTACTGCGAATTTGTTTTAAGCAAAAAAGAAATTTTAAGTAAAGTGTAAATATCAAAATTTTAAGATTATAATTTCTTTGACATTTAGCTGAATGTGCCCCACTGGTGGAATAGTTTCGGCTATGTGGTGGGGAACATTCGGCATTGTTTCATATTTGTCTAAAGCATAACACAAAATAAAAAAAATAACGTTACAAATATTTTAATATTCGGAAAGAACATCTTGTCTGTTATAATAAGCTTCAAAATAGACATAAAACACAAGATTATTAAGGATAAGTGATAATAATATTTCTACTCTCTTTTTTTCCTATCAAGGCGATGTCTTCACCATCAGGAAACACAAAATTATTTGAGGTCCTCTTTCTTCTTAAAAATGATTCTTCAAAGTCCTCATTGTACCACCAGGTAATCCTTGGACTTTCCCAATATAATAAATATCAGACTTAAAAACCACGAATTTCACGAGCACAAAATTGCCATTAACAATATCATCCCCCTCGGATATTTCTGCCATTTTTTCAAAAAACTCTTTGTCATCGCATGACTCATTGTAATAAATATCAACACTGGATTCACTGGATGATGACATTTTCCTCTTTCTATCACTTGTAGTGATGCTCCTTTTAACTGTTTGATTTTCTTTTACAGATCGTTTTCGTTTTTTTCCTCTTCCAAGCTTTGCCTTTTTTCATACTCGGGTATACTCTACTACACTATCTGTGTAGTAGTAGTAACTGATCTGCCTTGTCTTTTAGGTTTTCTTTGTCCCGACTTTTTTTGGAACGGGTTTTATATCGGTCAATAAGTTTGAATCTTTTGACGAAGAAGCTTCTTCCCTTAGTGGTGATAAATGAATGGGTTCAATGAATATTTCTTGCTCATCCGCCACTTGCTCAACAATCGATGCTTGCTCAATAGGCGACGCTTGCTCATCATTGGGCAACTTCCTGTCAGTTACTTCACTCGGCTTGAAATCGGAATCAGAAAATAGAAGTCAGTTGGGAGGCCAGAGACCGGTATTTTTAAAAGAGCTGATAATATTTTTCATAGTAAAAGCCCCTTCATAAGCAACTTTTGCCATGCGTGCCAAGTGACGAATTGTTATCACTTTTCCTGGATTTGCAAGTAACTAATCGTGCTGAGCGATCCTAAGATAGTTTTGCAATGAGTAATGGATTCCCGTATCCAGGGGCTGTAATCTGTGTGTGGTGTGAGGAGGAATGTTAATAGCACAATTCCTCTCTCGCGACAAACTTTAATGGCGTCAGCAGATATGTGTGATTCGTGGTTGTCTATAATAAGGAGAACTTTACGTGAAGGAGCATTTTACGTGAAAGGAGCATTTTACGTGACTAGCAAAATGTTCAAGCACTTTGGGAAAAAGTTCTGCGGTCATCCATCCATTTTTGTTTGCAAGAGCTATCGCAGAAGTGGGATATTCGTCACCTTAATACTCCCCTGGATTTCTAAGTCGCGGGTAAATAGATACTGGTAGTACAGCAACCCCCGAGGCCATAGCCGAATGTTACCCACCTTTCATAGCCGAATGTTACCCACCCGACCAAAATAAGGTTTAAACACGAAAAAATTGTAAACAGAGGTTTTGATGTTATAATTTTGCTAGAAATCAAGAGCGAGATTTCTTCACTAACATATGACTTATAAACCACGTCAATCGAACAAAAAATGCACAACTTATAAGAGAAAATGTAGGGGGGGAAAATCTTACCTTTTCGCTTGTAAAATCAATTTTTTTCACAAAATATTTTCTTTCATCCTATACACCATCAATGTTCAACTGCCGAATGGACACTTATGACAAGTGACAGATTACGAGCAAAACTGACGCTAAATTCAAAAGAATTTATGAAATAATTGGGGTAGCCGAATGTGCCCGATGGCCGAAAGTGCCCCCCTTTCCCCTATCCGATCTCATCCGGCCTCGAACCGGCTTGAATGATGCTACATTTTATCTTTGCCCCCTGTAACTTTTTCCAGAACTAACTATATTTTTCCCCAATTTTTCACTTTGATCAAGTATAAAACGCTTATAACTATTTTTGATTTTGTAGAATAGTTTAATTTTTTAATCTGAGTAGCATACTAGTATTTGAAATACGTTTAAAATTTGATCAGTATATTTGTTATTAACAATATTGAATCTGACTGTTTTGCTGTATATAAGTTAGATTTGTTTATTAAAGTAATGCTTTATCATGCATTAATATTCCTAATATGTATTAATCTCTATCATGATTTGCTCAATTTTAATAGCATGAATAACTTTTTTTTACTTTTTCAGTAAATTTAGTTATTTGAGTAATTTCGATTCACAAATATTGATTGGGAATTAATTTGTAGAGACACTCGTTGGTATATTTGTTTTACTTCTAGCTTTTACAAACTTATACTTTACCTACCGCTGTAGCTTCTACAAACTTAGACTAGTTGTATTGTATTATTATTACTTATAATCTTATAGTGTTAATAAACAATAATTACACACAAACATAATATATCACTTCATTATTTTCTGTATACAGTATGTTGCCGGATTGTCTTTACAAGAGGAAAAACTTATTTATTTTTGACATTTAGAGGAAAATTCGATCTTCATAAAAAAATTTGCTTGTTCTAAAACGGTTAATCCCGTTTATACTTTTCCAAATTTCCATACCGTTTTAGAGAAAGTATAAAAAACATGAAAATATGGTTGAATTTAAGTCCTAAAAATCAAAAGGCTGGTAATATCACTTGGATTTCATTCTTTGATAGATGGTTCTTATTAATTTTGATTAACGTCATAATTTTTGCTGTTGATAATGTATCACATTTTGCGGTAACTATTATCACCCTTTCCGTAGCATTGAACTAAATAAATTTTGTGTTTTTTTTAACATTTTAAAGCAGCAAAAAATTTGACCTTAATTAAAATTATTTCAATAAGTCTATCAGAGAATGAAATTCAAGTGATATTACCATAGAAACGCGTTTTGATTTTTAGGATGTTTTGATTTTTAAGAAAATTCAATCATATTTTCATTATTTTTTCAATTTTCTCTGAAAAGTTGTGGAAATTTGGAAAAGTATAAACGGGATTAAACATTTTAGAACAAGCAAAAATTTTTTTGAAGTGCGCATTTTTCTCAAAATGCCAATAATAAAAAAGTTTTCCTCTTGTAAAGACAATCCGCGGACATACTGTAGAACTATTTTTTTTTTATTTTAATATAGAAGAATATATGTCCATTAAAGTATAGATAAACAATACTAAATTAATATTATAGTAGCTGCCTTCATCTAGTGAATGTCGTAAATAAAAAATGTCTTCAAAAAATACTTTTTTGGTATTTCACCACTAGAAGAAAATATTTACAAAATAAAATAGTTATTTTTTAACACCGCTGCATTGATTCCAAGTAGACCGATTCAACGGTACTTTACTAATAAATCAAATTTGCTAGCGGACAAAAAATGCTTAACATTTTTAACACAAAGAATAAAGAAAAATCTATTTTAACTATCTAAATACAACTATTCGAGAATACTTTAGTTATTTTAGCAGATATGTCTATTATCATATAAACCGTTTATCATAGATAAAAGAAACAAATTTAGATTGGAAAGTGCCCATAAGGGCAATGTAAATACTATTTTACATTCTGTACTATTCTTACAACGGTCGCTCTCCAAAGCTTTTGATAATTTCGGAGCGGTTCGGCTTTTTCCAAGCCAAATATTATTTATTCAAATTTATTATTATTTTTTTTAATAAAATACAGTGCGTATGAAATACCTATGAAACATTGGAAACCGACGACTTTTGCAGTTCATTGTCCATTTAAGTTTTTAATGTCGCTTTTTCAAAATTATCACGGGTTTGAGTAAATAAAATTTAAATTAAACTCACAAGATAGCAAAAATTACTTTGAAAATGCACGCTTTTAAACACTTTTCGGTATTTTTTCAATGAGGGCGCCACAGTGGAATGTATTAGCATGAAAAAGGTGATCGAAATTCGAAAAAGCAAATGTGTTTAAGATTTCCCAAAAAAGATAAATGATAAGTTAAATCATGTCTGCCATGAATGGCGTTGCTATGGGTGTGTTTAGTTGCATTCATTTGTTTCAACGAAACGTCAAAGTTGTTACTTCTCACAGATAAGAGGTAAATGGCCAAATTTTATGTTTAAAATTATAAATTGTTGTTGTTCTTGTGCCCCTTTTACGTTTATATTATTGTTTTGATTGAAAATGGCTCAGCAAGCTGCAGGTATGTATTCTACAAAAACATATTATTTATTTTGATATTCTCTATACTAACGATTTTTTTGCAACTAAAAGTTAGGCGTTCAGAAAATTTGATTAAATTTGTGACATTTTTTATAATACTTAGAGATTTAGTTGCGCATTTCGAACAATTCAGCATATTGTCTATACACTACTGGCAAAGGAATATTAGCAATAGGAGGTTTTCAATGCGATAAAAAAAGATGGTAAGGCTGCAAAATACACTGCAGTGCAACAGAGACGGATAAAGTGTCTTTTCCCTACCATCGTATAGGGGAAGTGATCATAGAAGTGATACGACGAGAGAGCCCCTGCGAGAGAGCCCCTGCCGGGCGGGTCTTTAAGACGCTTGTGTGGGGGCTACCGCCTACTAATAGAACAGAATCGAAAAAATAGAAACAGGACGGACAGTGTTGCCATTCAATTAAATGGAAATTATGTTGGCTTGTCAAAATCCTAAATCTTCTAATCCCATTATCTTGCCTACTTAATGAAATATTAAATAAAGTACGAAACAATTTTACGAATGTTTTCTTTAGGCACATAACTTCTTTCTAAAACGAAAAGTAACATGCAAAACTTTGATATCATTTCTAAAATAGCAAGTGCAATTCTATGAAATGGCAATACTGTACGATCTTCCTAGCAGTCGCCCCGACACAGTCGGTCGGCGGCGGCGCTTCACAAAGCCGCGGCTGTGACAAAGGAATTAGGCCGAAAAAAACTTTATAAGGAGTAGACGAACAGGGTTGCCGGGTTTGTTAGATTATAATTCCATACGAGAACAAAATTCTCGGTAGATCTTCAACAAAAATTAAAAGTACAGAAACGAAATAAAATATAATATTTAAGTCCAAAATTAGCATTCCTATGTGTCGTAATAATAGATCACTCAATAACAAATATAATAAATATAACAAGAATTAGAAATAGCTAGGTATATTATTTGATATTAAAAAAAAATATTGAATTAAATAATATTAATATATTAATAAAAACATATAAAACTATAACAAGTAGGGATAGCAGTCACAAATTAGTGTAACAGTCACTTTTTACCTTTGTACAAATTTTGATCAGTGATATCTAAAATTAATTTCATTTCAATGGTAAAGCTGTAGCAACTCTCAACTCTTTTTTCATATTAATAAATTTTTTTGACGGGAAAATCACTAAATATTGTCCGAATTTAGGTTGTTTCTTAACTTAAATTTTGTTTTTGTTTACATTTTTTGGGGGAAAATATGGGTTCAACTTTAGTAGATGAATGAAATAAAATCTTTTCAAAAGATATCAACTTCTTCGGGCATGCCGCCAATCCCGCGCCTAATAAGGAGTAATAAGGATTTTTAGGAATATCTCTGTAACTCTGCAACTAGACAGAACGATGACCTGTATGTCTGTTATTACTAAATAAAATTTAATGAAACAATAATAAAGTCAGATTATATAGATTCCAACGCGGCAGTCGCTTAATTTTTAGTCAAATAAGTCAGCTTTTTAAAAGTGCTTCTATTGTAAAAACTAAAGACGCAGTTGAATATATCGTTGGGTTTTTCTTTAAATCGGTAGATCGGTAGCTTACAGACGAAACCGGTAGACCTGGCAACTCTGTGATGAACTGACTGGAGTCGGAATAGCGAGGTGCGGAGGCGCGGGAAGGGAAATAAAATAATGGCGATAGATAAAGGGCAGGGAGATGGGTATCATGAGTGGATGGGAGGTGGCGGAATTTCCAAAATTTGTTATCTTATTGGAGTTTGTCTAAGTAGACAGTCGTAGTGGAAGTGGAAACGGGGAAGTTGTTGTCCATCTCTGTTTAAGCATAGACTTTTTATAGGCGTTTCATTCCAATGCATGTAATTCCTATGCCTAGAGATCCATTGCCGGGCCTGTATACGTTTTACTTAGTAAACATTGGGTTTTCACACAGTAAAATAAAATACTGCGGCTTTTTGCGACTTTGCTGATAAAATGAGAAAATCATTCTTGGTTTCCTTTAATTTGCAAAACAGTGATATACTAATGCGAGGTGTAAACCGCGATGGCATTGTTGTGTACAAAGCGATCGCATTAGTGCCATTAGCAGTATAGCACAATTAATAGCGGCTTTAGTGGTATGGGCATTGGTCGCGGATCATTCGTAGCATTAGTAGTATTAGTTGCGATATTACTACTGGCATTAGTGGCATTGACCGTAGAAACACCGGAACAGTGATTTTTCTTTCCTTTTTTTTTAAATCGACGAATTATCCTTTATTTTGTTCATATTATTTCCTCTTTAATTTAAAATGGCAATAATTTATATAAGGTCTACATAAAGAAAATTCGATCAACTATCGGTGTCAAATACCCCACTGTGGGGCGGTTTAAATTTTGAAAGATTTTACAATTTTTGAAGATTCTGATTTTGACAAGAGAAAATTATTTCTGTTCTTGTTCGGCGGTTGTTCTTAGCAACCGCTATAGCAGCGCCCTACAACGTATGCGCTCCAAAACAATTATAAGTTTTGGCGGCAAGCCGAGCATTCCAATCTAAACTGGTTTCCTTTATCTATGCCGTTTATGTTCTGTTAAAATGACATTATTCCGTGTGCGTCTCATAAATGGCTCACCCATATAATTTTTTTATTTTTTCAAATGAAAAAAAAAACGGTATTTGGTATGTTAGTATATGACATAAATTAGGATTGATTAACATATTCAATTGTTTTTGGTCACTTCCTGTTTCACCGGAAATGACTACATCTTTTGATTTTTAAATGGCCCTCTCGGTATATTTTTACTTTATTCGATAGAACATGACATTCTGAATAGAATGACGTACAATGTATCAACCTTTGACATTTTCGCTTAAAAAAACATATTTTAAATTTCAGTCTAGAGTGCCATGGTTGTGTGAAAATACTAATTTTCAATCAAGGAGTCTTGGAAAAATAAGTTTAATCATCTAACGTTTTTCGTGTCTTGTCCTGGCCGGTTAAAAAATGCCCAAATCGTATTTTTAATCATATCTCATTTCTTTTAAACGAAACGAGGGTGGCTCATTAGCATGTTTGGAAAAAGTATTTTTTGCGAATAATTTGGTACCATACACTTGGTATTTTAAGTCAAATTGTCGTTATAAATCGCTTTTCAAATATACCATTTGCGAACATGTCAAAAGTTGACACATGATTTGTCATTCTATTCGGAGTGTCATTTTCTATCGAATAACGTAAAAAAATACCGAGGGTGCTACTTAAAAATCAAAAGTTGTAGTCATTTCCGGTGAAACAGGAAGTGACAAAAAACAATTGATTACGTCAATCAATCATAATTTATGTTATATATTAACATATCAAATTTCGTTTTATTTTATCTAAAAAAATTAAATAGTTATAGGGGTGAGCGACTTTTAAAACGCACCCAGTATAAAGTCAGACTTCAAAATTAATAATTACCACCTGATAACAATTATTTAATGAGGTAAACACGAAAAGCTTCAAACTTTCTGTAAATTATTATTATTATTTTTTTAATATTTATTTATCTTTTGCTTATTTATGTTTATTAATGTCAAAGAAACGATAATTATACATTATTAAACTCAATACATTTATTTATACTAGATTTGTTTAAAAAAGCCCCTTTTATTATTTAGTAATGGTTCATTCATCATAATCTTTGCGTTGTTCTACTCTATGGCCTGTGTCCCATTAATGCTGACAAATTTGTCAACATCACCCTTTAACGCTCTAGATGATTCACTAATTAATAATAATATATAATACATTCCATATACAACAACCTAATAAGCGTACGAATACCAAACTAATTAATTACATTTTCAGGAAAAAACACTAAACTAACCACAGTAGCAGTCCATATACATTCCCCCAGCAGTCCCGACTCGATCAAAGTCGAAGAAAAATTTGCGGGAGTGCTTGTAACCAAGCCAAACCAACAAGAGGTGATGTATTCGTCGCCAACCTCTTTCCAAATCAAAAATGGCTGTAGTTCGAACAGGGAAAACCTGCTGGTTAAGACTGATATTGCGATGGCAGGACTGCTGGTGCGACTAGACCAAGTGGCGGCACAATGTACCGTGGCCCAAGTACGTGGCGGGGGAAAGTTCATATCCGAAGATAAATTCCAGGTTTGTGGATTCATTTTGTTGTCTTATTATTTATATAAACGTCTATTACAGTACTAGTGAAGGCACCGGAAGTTCCGAAGACTATAGTTTAAATAGATAGAAAGATATTTTTATTTATTGGTTCCAAATATTTAAAGATGCATACATACAATGCAATATTTATAGTATAAATATTGCATTGTATTTATGCATCTTAAAACATAAACCCAATTAGAGTTATATAGTCACTATATAACTCTAATTGGGTTTATATTTTTAATCAATTGAAAGTAGCTTGACAAAGTTCTTTTCTTTTTCGGTCATATTTCGTCTTTTTTTTTCTCATTTTTGTAAAAGTGTTTTATTTGTATCTGTCTAATGTACCTAACATGTATTTATTATCAATCAAAAATTCCTAGTACAGCGACCGATCAAAGCGCGACGCTACGTACTTACCAGTTCAAGTTACTAGTGTTGGCGACCGACGAAAACTCGACCCTACGAGCGCTCCAGCAATCGCGCCATCACTGGCACTGGAGCGAAATACGTCGCGATATAGGTCGTTACCAGTTACATCTCTTCGCGACAGACGAAGCTATCAAGATCGCGCGACGCTACGTAGTTACCAGTTCCAGTTACTACTGTTCGCGACCGACGAAACGGCGACCATAGGAGCGCGACGCGCGACGGCTGGAGCGAAACACGGCGCTATGCGGTTACTGCGGTTCGAGCTAACTCCAAGGGAGATTATAAATAATTTATAGTTTTGTCGCTATTATGATCGTCGTTCTTCAGTAACAGGTTCCCCATTCGTTGTGGAGCGCGACACGACGACGTTACAAAAAAATACCTCTGGAAAATCGGGTTACTCAAATACCGACACATCACTAATTTAAACCCATCGGTATGGAACAATGTTAAAAATAGTTATATTAATATAATATAAAATAAAACATATTACTTACTGCAAACGTAAAGAAATTAAAGCTATAAAACAAATTTCAAAGAATAAGAAAAAACTTAAGTAAGATTGTTTTATTTTTCTATATTAATTCAATCTGAATTCACAAAAAATCTTATTATATTTCATATTGGATTATGCTTCTAACGACTTTAAAAATCAAACACTATTTTATTATTAAATAGTACTGAGTCTGTGGTTGTTTCCTTATGTTTGCTATTTGTAGGGGGCGCTACCTACATGTGTTTTAACCTTTGAATAAAGCTTGATTTTCATGCATCCGTTGTCCGACGATACGTTGATAGGATATTAATTTCATTGGTTTAATTAAAAGGCTTCGATTGGTTAACCGTTTCTAACCAATCGAAGTCTCTAAATTCAACCAATAAAATTAATATGGTATCATCGTATCGTCGGACAACGAATGCATGAAAATCATGCTTAAGAAGACTAAGGGAGGATCATAATGCTATCCATGTATTCATGCATGGTGGGCGGAAAAAGGACTCTAGGATGGGGATCCCTGACAGTTCTGTTTAACGATTCATTTGACACATTTCAATTTGATTTGAAATTTTGTGGATTTGTCAGTCTTTACGGAGCTTATTTTATGTTATTTATTATTTATTCTACTACTGATAGTTGTATAAAGCTAGTAAATCTAGATGGAAATTGTGGCAGAACTTAAAATAACAGTGACACTATCGCGATTTATCAAAAAAGACTCTAAAATAGTTGGTTGTGTAGCGTGCGGTAGATCTCGGCAAAAATCAAGTAAAATAATGGAACAACTTTTCGCTAGTAAGTGACTATATAAAATACATACGTGTAATAAACCTATCATTTATGAAATTTACTTAAATTAACTAATTATATATTTTTTCTTGCATTTTTGCTTTTATTTATTACTTGTCAAAGATTAGATGTCAAAGAATTTAGATACGTCAATTTGACTTACCTGCTTCAGTAGCGTATCGGATGTTTATGGTTGTAAATAATTATTATAACTTATCTATTTTTATTAGAATTTTATATTTTTATAACAATTTTAATAACTACCAACATTTATTCGCAACGTCAAATAAATAAAAAATTATAGAGTCTACTACACGTCAGCCCTACATCATAGTTTTACATTTCTTAAATAAAATTAGAACGGCACTGATAAGCCGGAATTTAAGTCCGACATATTTGGGGCCCATCGTGGTGGACCTAAGATTTTTGATATGCTTCTTCCTTAGTATTCTTATTCAAAGGTTTTAACTGTTTTGTAAGTAATAACTTTTCGTCCGTACCTGTATAAAACTACTGAATGAAAATATACATTTCCCTGATTTATTAGGAAAAAAATGTCTCTGGAAAAATCGCTCCTAGCAACCGTTTTCAAGATATTTAGAATAGAAATAGTCAATATATGTAAACAAAATTTTGATAAAAAATAAACGCATGTTGTGTAGATAGTTATTTGTCTGAAATGATTAATTTGGGAACTTTTTATTTTTTTAAATTAATCAAAAATTTTTCTTCGAAAAGATGATGATAAAACAGTTCAAATTTATTATTTCAGTTTAATAACTATTTAGTCAACATGTTTAATTTATGTCAATAATGACAGGTTGATAATTTCGATTCCAAATATCTCGAGAACAATTATTATTACCACGCGTAGCGATTTTTACCAAGAAACCTTTTTTACGTAAAAACGTCGTAAATGTATAATTTTTTACTCAATAGTTTTATACAGGTACGGACTAAAAGTTATTGCTCTTTAAATCAGTTAAAAATGTGTAGGTGGCGTCCTCTACAAGTAGGAGTCATATTCATATCAAAATCAAATTGCTCATGTGAAAAGCTCCCAGACACCAATTTTCAACCAAATAGTGACGATACTTCAGAAATTATTTGGAAAAAATTGAAATAAAAATGAAACTTCAATACCCTGTATCTCCGAAACGAAGCATTTTGGGACATACATTTATACAAACTTTTCTACTTATTTTTATCTGCAGAATATGCTGCCGAAGTTTCCGGAATACAGTTCGGACCACCCTGTATATCAAATTATTTTTACTTCTGCCTTGATTTGAAGAGCAATATCTTGTCTGTGGAATATTTTATAGGAAATTTCGAAAAATACGCCGTTACTTATCTCCTTTCTTAATTAACTTAATATAAATATGAATTTTATTTGAAACGTGATGCAAGGCATATAATATTTTAATTTTAAATTCATACACATCTAAAAATATAACGAATATCGAATTTTATTACCACAATAATATTTGGTTAATTATTCGCACTGACTGTTTTGGTTTTTCGGAGGTTGGCGAAACTCAAGTTCAAAAGGCTGTAGGTATTTATTATTATTGTTTGTTTGACATTGATCGGACGTAGAGGTGACTTCTAATATGTAGTTGAAAAATAAAAGAAAATTTTCGTAGTTTTTTTATAATAATGTAATACTGATCGAAAGTATATTGTATTCAAATCATATTAATTATTATAAATGTATCACTGCCAAAATCATTCACCTTGTTTGTTACACCAATTTTTATAAAAAAAAACTGAAAAAGTTTGTTAGTTATCTTAACAAGTTACTTGTTGGCTAAGGCCAAGCGCCCACGGTGTGACTGTTTTGAACCAAAAGTTACAAACTAGTTTACTCTACCCCCCAATCAGTGTCTAACAACTAAAATGAAACTGTTGCATGCACACGGATGCAACTCATTCTGAATAAGTTTCAATCAGTTGGTGCACCTAAAAAATATATAATGTCACATTCCGAATATTCAGAATCAGTTGATGAAGATCTCATTATGGGTTCATCCATAGAGGCTTTCATTAATCATTATATCAGTTAATAATACTAAGTTATTATTTTATATCAAATTATATATATATAATAATAATAATAATAAGTTCGATCATTTCCAAATTCAAGCAATAGACCCTGAAGCGACTTGGTACAGCCCGTCACTTCAGAACAAACAACCACTTGAAACAAGTGGGAAGAAAGAAGAAGAAAAATACTAATACTTTATTTTGCATGAATGTCATTTACAACAAATGTAAATTACAAATAAATAATAATAATAAAAAAACATGCAAGAAAGGAACTGAAGACAATTAAAATTGATTTAAATTCAGTTCCTGTTAGATCACGATATCAGCTAGTATAAATGTGTGTTATATAGCTAAATTATTTTATTGTAACTATCTACAAATATAAGTAAATTATATAGTAATCCTATGACTAACTTATGACTAAGAAAATTTGGTATGAAATTCAAAGAAATTAACAAAAAGAAAAGTATTTTATACTAAAATAATTCTGAGGTAAAAAAAATAAGAGGGAAGAGAACTATCCAGAAAATGTTTTTTAAGTTTATTTTTAAATGCAGCACTCTGAAGGTTTATCATTTCTGCTGGTAAACAGTGGTAGAGCTTCGAAATATTAAATGAGAAACATCTAGTGAACAATGTTGTTTTGTGAGGTGGTGGAGTAATAAGTCCCTTAAATCTAAGGTTTAAGTTGTGCACATCTGTTCTGAATTTTATTTTATTCACCAAGTATGGAGGACACTTCTTAGAAATAATTCCATGAAATAAAACCAATGAATCTTACGTCTGTTTTCCATATTCAACCACTTAGCTTCTTTTAACTTATGCGAAATGGGATCATATTTTCTTATACCATAAATAAAACGTAGGCAGCTTTTTTGAAGCTTCTCTATTCTGTTAATGTCAATTTTTTCCAGACATGGTCCATATATAACATCACAGTAGTTGAAATGGGATACGACTTCAGCTAACTTTATCTTTAAAGTTTCCGAAAGTAACCTTCGATGCGGATATAACATTTTTGAAGAGATGTAAGACCTCTTGATACATTGAGAGACATGTTCCTTAAAGTAAAGATTATAATCTATAATTAATCCCAAATTCTTGGCAGATTTAGTAAATTGTAATTTTTGTTCAGCTAAACTTATTGACATTACGTCAGATAGAAAGTCCCGGTGTTTACCAAATATCATAACAGATGATTTATCTGGATTTATTGCCAGGCTGTGATGATTTGAGACTTGTAGTAATTTAATTAAATCGTCATTTATTAACGTTTGAGCTAATGTCCAGTCATCCAAATTAAACGAAAAGAAAAGTTGTTTTATACCAAATTATAAATTGCGTAGCAGTGTGCATTAACATTATCTAGGTATGTAGAAATATTACTTGTATATATTGTAAAAAGTAAGGGTCCCAAGATAGATCCCTGTGGAACTCCACAACTAATAACTTCCCTCGGTGACTCCCCTGTAGTAGTTTTTACAAATTGCCTTCTATTGCTTAAATAATTTTCAATTAGACTGACTGCATTTTTCGAGAAGCCTACATAATGTAATATAGATAGAAGTAGTTTATAACTAATTCTGTCAAAGGCCTTTGAATAATCTAATAGCACCAGTACAGAGTTTTTGCCCCAGTCACAGGATTTAATGATGTTATCAACTATGTTTATTATTATACCGTATGATCGAAAAAAAAACAGCGTCCAGTTGGCTTGGAAATGACGATCGATGACATTTCCCATATAGTTTTACATATAAAATGACAGCGATCTTCATTTCATAGCCATCGTCGACGCCGTTTTTATTCGAACATACGGTATATGTTATGTAAACTATATTATTATATATGTTACAGCGAAAGTCGGAAATTCAGTGACTGTTAACATTCATTAGGAAATGCTAGCAATTACGCATTGGACGAATGAATGTGGTATTTTAAAGAGATTTGTCGACTTTTCCTGGTAGTTTCAAACATTCACTAGTGAAAGTAACATTTACTCTAAACGCTGCCAGTAAAAGTTATTCTATTGTACAGGGCGAGTGTGGCGAAGAAGAATGTTGGTGGAAGTTAGAACAAATAAAACTTTTAAGAATATTGGATCTAAATAACGACCTTCTAAATATTAAAAGAGAAAACTTGGTAAACATTTTAAAGCGTACAAGAATATGTAAAAAACATTTATAAACATTAAGAAGAAGAGTACAAGGTTCTTTTTAATAAACTTCTTCATCATGGACAAAATAAAGTATGCCCGAATTTTCTTCAACGGAAGTTATTTATTTTTTCCATACGCTACTTCAAGCATATCAAAACGTTTAAAAAATTCGTAGTGACTAGGTTCCTAAGGTCTAATTTCCTAGCGACGCGACGCGACGCACAGAGGGCCAGCGTCACTGAAAACATTGAATATCTCCAAAAAAAAATACATTATTGATAACAATCTTGTTATCAATTTACAGCAAGTAGGCTTTGGAGCATCACAAAACAAAACTAAAATGAATAATGGAATTGTCGTAACATGTCGAAAATCGTTTCACTTGATAGTAGGCTTTGCAAAATGCTATTATATCGCAGCAGAAGAGTTTCAACTTTGTATTTTTTTTAAATATATTTTACAATGATTTAGCTGTTGAACTTTTACTTCGTAGTCTTAGCAAATCAGTGAAGGTGAGCTTTTATTAGTAATTGTTAACAATCACTGATTTCCAACCCTTTTACTGTAACATAGACTATACTCTCTTTCAGATGACCAAAGAAGAACTCACCTCCCAATGTCTCCAGCTCGTGACCTCGAGCAAAATGCTCGTGATAGCGATGTCCGACCCGTCGCTGCCCGACCTTCCCGAGAACCTAGCCGTTTGCCTTACTATTTTGAGGAGGTTGTCGGAACTGAGCCAGGACCTGGTGAACCACACCACGGCGCCGCTCCAGACCAGGAACCTCGTTCTGAAGATACGCGACGTCACTGCCGCCTTCCGCCACCTGATCACTTCGCACGTGGACAGGAGCTCGCAGAGGAGCGTCGAGGAGCACTTGGCCGCCCAGGCGGAATCCTTGGCCAACGTGCTGTCGACGCTGTTGAGGAGCTTGAGGGTGTTTTCACCTTAGTGGGTTCGACCGGTGGCATTGTGGGAACAAATATTAGGTAAGCATTCTGAATAGAGTTGGGAGACGCGGCGGCATAAAAAACGGGCAACTTAAAATTTTGAAGTATTCAAACTATTCATAATTCGAAGAAGACACTAACAGTTTATCGGAATTTTTCCATTAAAACCATGCCTTTGCTTTTGGTCCCACTCAACAGACCTATGAAATAGTGTTTATGATTTGTGTAATGTCACTGTTTTTGAAAAATTATATTATTATTGCCTGTTGGCTGTTGGGTATTTACTCTAGCAGAGAGATGGTTTTAAATCCAGAAGTTGCATCTGCTATAGTTGCTTTAATTGATGATCATAAAGATCAAAATTATATTCGCGTCCAGTCCGAATGTATTATCTTGATTTTTCATACGTAGTAACGTCCCTGTGTGCACAATTTTAAAGCTATAAGGTAAATTCCCCTCCCGTTGCTAATCTAGATAAAGGGCGCGGCTCACTTGTGTCTAGCCCTAGCGGGCAACTGTTAAGCCCGACCAATCACGTTAGAGTTTTTGACAAACACAAATGAATTAACACACTCCAAATAACCACGCTAACCAACCTGATTGGTCAAGCTTAATAGTTGACTGCTAGAACTAGACACTTCTGCGCGGCGCGGCGGTCGGTATTCATTCGTCTTTTGTGCACGGTGCAGTGCGGATCGCAGCTCTCCGATTTCTTCGTCGTAGATCGATGAAGCCATATACAGGGTGATTCCTGCAAGTCGGTCATGCTTTCGAGGAATGATAGGGGACGTTGAAATATTAATTTTGATATAGCATACTATGGGTCGGAAATGCCTCTTACGCAAGATACAAGGTGTTAAAGTTTTTGAAAAATTAAAGATATTCTTTAATAGTTTTTTAGCAGTTGAAGGTATCGTTATAAAATTTTATTATAGGAGTCTGCCTAACAGAGACACTTTAAATGTAAAAAGAGGAGGTTTTAGTTTCAACCAGTGGCGTAGATGTGATACGTATCGGGTAATTTTTTCAAAAAAAAATAGTACGCCACTGACAAAAATAAAAATTTCGGAGTTTTTTTATTTACTCGGTTTATTTCCAAGAAAAAATGTCTCTTGCAACTTTCTTCTATCTAACAACATTTTGTCACAATTTAAAAATAAATATTTTTTAATGAGAACCTTAAATATGCGAATTATTATAACTACCTTAAAACTACGAATTTTATTATTAACAATACAAAAAAATTCTAGTTTAAATTTATAATTTTTTAAAAATTTATTTAGAGCTAATAGTAAAAAGTACTAAAGTTACCCAAGATGAAGAGAGCTAACGATGCACAGGTGTTTCTGCCCTCTAGTATAATAATTCGCTGTATTTAAGATTCTCGTTAAAACATTTATTTATTTTTAAATTGTGATAAAATGGTGTTAGATAGGAGAAAGTTGCAAGAGACATTTTTTCTTGGAAATAAACCGAGTAAATAAAAAAACTCCGACATTTTTTGTCAGTGGCGTACTATTTTTTTTTTGAAAAAATTACCCGATACCTACGTATCACATCTACGCCACTGGTTGAAACTAAAACCTCTTCTTTTTACATTTAAAGTGTCTCTGTTAGGTAGATTCCTATAATGAAATTTTATAACGATACCTTCAACTGTTAAAAAACTATTAAAGAATATCTTTAATTTTTCAAAAACTTTAACACCCTGTATCTTGCGTAAGAGGCATTTCCGACCCATAGTGTGCTATATCAAAATTAATATTTCGACGTCCCCTATCATTCCTCGAAAGCATGACCGACTTACAGGAATCACCCTGTATAAGGAGATATTTCAACAGGAAAGCTCCTCCAGAAATTATTATTTATAAGGCTGTACGTTCAAAAAGAAGGACAGTCGCTATTTAAGTGTCGCTATCTCATAACAGATCGAACACAAGCTCAGCATCTAGGAGAGGAAAATAAACCAAATCCAGCGGTTTGTTCAGTTTGGCCAAACCAAACTAATCCACAGAGACTACAGAACATTCGACTCTTTATACATGCTACTTCGGGAGACGAACTCAGGCTTAGCCAATGATCTGGCTTAAGCACAGAACAAGGTCCAACTTTTATATCTGCTAAGCGGCGAAATCTACTTGAGAAAATATATTTTAACTCCCTAATTTACCAAGGAGCCATGGCATGTCGCCTATCCTCTCCTGTGTCATAATTGTTAAGATGAAGTCCAGTATATTCGAAATAAAACTCATTCAAAAAAAAAATTAACTGGGTTATAAAAATTGGTTTCACGTTTAACCTTAGTTATCAGAGACAGATGTCAGTTTGTTTTTAGTCAGTATATAATTATATATGCATATTATAGTTACTGAAAATTATCCAAAAAAAATAAAAATAATAATAAAAACTTCTGGTATAAAATTGACACAGATCAATATCTGTGTCTGCTTTATATCAATGTCCACAATAATACCAATGTATGGATAGAAATCTAATCTATATGATGACTCTGGTTTAATTCATCGACGTAATTAAAGCATTTTGGAAAATAAATTATTGAGACTCTTATTTTCTTACTACCAAAGTCTAACATTCAAATGTTGACTAATATTAATGGCTTAAAAAGTAAGGCCTTTTAAATATTAAGCAATGGGTTAGAAACACCTTAAAAAATATATATCGATTAAACCTCACTATAGTCGAGTTATTCACGCAGTTCTACACTGAGACAGGGATTTCTATCGACACGATGAGTTCATTAGTTTATAACAAGTATAATTGAACAAATTTGGCAGAATCCTTTATGGAAGTGTCATCTTATGGGTTTCTGTTTCTGCTTAGTATGCATATATGTATATGTTAATTGTCACAATTTGACATATCCATGTATTGAGGGCCGTTAAATTGGTTTCATTTTGGTTACATTCAATAAACATATTTATAATTTCAGCTATTTATGTCTCAGAAAAAAAATGCTTTCTGCACCGCATTCATTAATTTGCAACCATCAGTTCTTTAAACATCTACGTATGAAAAATCAAGATAATACATTCGGACTGGACGCGAATATAATTATACGATCAAACGAACTTGCCTGAAGTGAAGTTCGATCATAATTATATGAGGCGTCCAGTACGAATGTATTATCTTCCCACCCTTCCCGTCTTGCCCCATGGTCGCTTGAATTAATGAATAAATCTTTGATAAATGAATACCGACCGCCGCGCCAGGGCCGGCGCCCCCACCTAGACTAGCAACGGGAGGGGAATTTAGCTTATAGCTTTAAAATTGTGCACGCAGGGACGTTACTACGTATGAAAAATCAAGATAATACATTCGGACTGGACGCCTCATATAATTACGATCGAACTTCACTCAAGTAAGTTCGTTTAATTATGTCGCTAATCGATCTAGGTGTGCACGAAATACAGTGTATTCGCTTCCTCGAGATAAGTCCATACTCTAGACGTCCATGAATATTCGTATGAGATTATCGTATAGATATTCGTATCTTCAAATCGAGCCGATCCACTTATTGTAAATTTATCGCTAAGAAACTACCGTTTGCCAGCTTTTCAAATTTATAATGAATTGCATCTAAGGAACGTACATCTAAGAAGAAGATTAAACGAAGCGAATCTTATGTCAAAAAGACCTGCTTCGGTACCAAAACTTACTAGGCCTATTATTGACCAAGACCAAAAACAAAGGCGTGGTTTTAATATAATAATTACGAAAAAAAATTAGTGTTATCTTAATTAAAAAGCGAATATCTCCAACAAAAATAAAGCTATTGAGATGAACCAACGATCAGATTATTTTTAAATTCCTTTCTGTATTAACATATTCCACAGGGTATTTCAATTATTTACCGTAATATTAAAATGACCCTAACTTTATTTGTTTCTGTTTCAGCTTGATCTTTCTTAAAATAATTGGAAGAATGAAAGCGAACTCTGAGGAAGCGAAAAAAGCAAACCGGACTTCGTGTATTAAGCTGGAACAAAAGACTTGCATTATCAAAACCAATATTAAGTTTTTCTTCGACACAAAAAAATCAAGCATACAATTCCACTTAATAAAAAAGAAGCAATTTTTACAGTCGATTTTGTATTTTAACACTCTTAAATTAAAAAAAAATGCGACAATATATACGGAAATTGGTAAGGAATAGGACTAAGAAATGTTACTGGTGTATACTCAAAGGAAGAACCTTTTCAATGTAATAATTATTACTTATAAAATATTATTACGTATAATTAGTGTAGATGTATTACAAAATGGGAAATTTCGAGTATTTCGAAACTTCCAATATACGTAATCAATATCGTTGGCTTTAAAAAAAATACGTTTGTTAATATGTTTTTGTTATTAATTACTTGTATATTAAGAATATTGTATATTTTTTATTAGGTAATGTACTAATCAATTAAACTTTGGTACCTTATTTTCTAGTCGTTTAGATATACGGAGTGATGTTATTCTTGCAAATATTTTTACTAATTTATATATCATATTTACGGTGAATATTGAGATATCTATATAAACAACTCATAATTAAGTTATATTATGCAGCAAATGTTTTGAATGAAATTTTAGGTGTCTATGTTTTGCTAAGTGCTTTAACATTTGATTTTCACAAAAATCAAGAAAAAGTACAGAAAGAGTGATAACTACCCCCACCCCTACATAAATTTTAGGATAAATATTTTCCAACTCGAGCGACGCGACGACCGATTTTTTTTTTCGTAAAATGGCCCTTCTATTATTTACTACATTTTTTCTCTTGCTAAACTACTTTTGAGGAAAAACATTATTTTTCCGAAGCTGATTTCCAAAAAATGTTTATTTTTGTGATGTCAAGTTATGGAGGCGCATAAAATCTACTATTGTCTAATAATCAAGTTGGCGAAAATATGCAATTTTATGTTAGTATCACAAATTATATTTGACAATAAGCTTTATGAAAAGCTTAAAAAAAACTAATAAATTTTAAATTAATTAACGTTCGGGTTTAGTTTTTATTGATGTCCTCTAACGGACAAACTAAGCACTTTTGTATAAAGAGAAATTAGGAGCAGTTAATTTATTTTGATTCAAAAAATATGGAGTTCTTCTATGTCTACGGAATATTGAAACTCCCTGTATACTTTGTAGGTCTACTTTGGAAAAATAAACTCTCCAAAAATTTTTTTCTCAAAAATTATGCGATTTTCTCAAAAATTATACGTTTTTATACAAGAGACAAAAAGTACAGTAAATACTAGAAGGGCCATTTTACGAAAAGAAAATCTGTCGTCGGTGGAGTTAAAGTAAAAAGATTTCCCTAGATATTTTTATTTTCTTTTATTTTTTTTTATTTTTATAAAAAATAACAGTATATTTACAAATCTGTTTTATTGTTTAAAATAAGTATTTTTAATTCATATTCTCGTCCATAATATTATTATTATTACAATCAATATTCTGTTAAAACATAGAAAATTTGTTAGTTGAAATATTTGCATGGATTAAAAACTCACTCTCATTCAGTTAAAGAGGTATAGAAAAGTTTAGAAAATATGTTGCATATTTCTAGCTACAGCGAAAATATACCGCGCCATATAAGTTTTTTGATCAATTCTGATGCATTTAACCAGAAAAATTGCTTATCTTTTACCATACAAAGTTTAAAAAGTAAAGTATTTTAAGTTAACATCTCCTTCTAAGGATTTTCTGGACGGGGCCTACTTTGCTTACGCGGAATAAGAACCCCGGTCCTCGGCCATATCATTATCAATGGCCTACCCATTTGGCGACCCATACAGCACATCAAATCACATTTACGATGTGTTTACATTATCAGATGTAAGACACAGGGTGGCACAATTCCCCCGATGTAAATATGCTACGTTTACACATTGTAGTTCAATACGTATGCACAAAGGTTAAACGTCCGCCTCACAATGTAGCCACAGTATAGCATTTACGTATACACAAAGTAAGGGATACACAATGTGCCGTAGGATACACAGTGCTTGTGTATTACGTTTAAACTCTGTTTACACATTGCAGTTGTGACTACCGTGTGTATACGTATGTATTTTGCTTCGTGTATACATCTTGTGCTAGATAAAACTACTTCTTATGAACGAATTTAGGAAATAATACAAGTTTTGATGCCTCACTTTTCGTTCTTTTTAAGAAATATTTATTCAATGATACCAATTATATCTTTTTAGAACAAAAATTAGGATGGCAAAACTTTGTATTTTCCAAAAGTATCTCGATCGTAAGTTCAAGAGAAGTAGCCTTAAAATTGTTCCATTTTTGTTTTGTATTAAATGTACCATTTTTCTTCTTCTTTATATCATGGAACGCAATAGCGCAAATAACATAATAATAATAATTATTTACACTGCAGAAACCAGAAGTAAGGAAACACTGTAAAAGAACAGAATTTGTATCAAAATGTATTAAAAATATAAGTACCTAGTATAACAACATACTAAAATGTTAAACACTGGTATATCGCCACGATTTGGTGGACCTCGTTTAGTCATTTTTTCTCCTCTTTTTCCTCCAAGCAGTTGGTTTGTTAGCATACTCATTCATCGAGCACTCTGTTGGACTTTGTTGTATTTTATTTCCAGATTAACAATCTCACCCTTAAATTTTATATGAAACTGATTATTGAATATTAAACATATCTGTGTATATTAATCCATCAATAACTTACAGAATATCAGTGTAAGAAGTTCTTTGAAGTGTTTGAAATCTTTCCAAATTAAAAAATATATATATTGCAGAGCTAACCTCTTTATCATTATACGAGAATATTTGGAGTTTTCATTCTTTGGAGTCAAAATTTGGTAAATTGGGTATCGAGTAAGGGAAGAGTCGCTGCTATAATATTAATAATACTCTTAGGAAGGTGTAACAAGGTAATTAACAACTTGTGCTTACCTTAAAATCTCTTTTAAACTACACACAAACAGAACATTTATATAGAGCTTCCAAATGATAAAACAATAATGCCGGCTCACATAACACATACCACTCCTAGAAAGGAGAAAGGAGAGAGGACACATAAGATACACTTGGTCGGTGTATCTACGCTGAGGCTATCCGCGCATGCGCACACCTTCATTTCATGCTAGAATGTAGACACAACAGTATACTATTACAACGTGTCTATATAGATATTTATACTATGTGTATACGTCACATTTTTACAAGGTTTGTACTATAGGCACAACTATGATACGAAGTATCACACATACATATGACTTATACATTGTATGTCTCATATACTGACGTCAGATTTCATCATTTTAATAATTATTTGTTACGTTACGAAAAACTCTTTAGAATCTTGAGTGCATACGGTATACAACTAGTAAACACTGTATCACACAATTCTATCAATATAAATCTGCGTGTATCTCATATGTATATGTTAGAACTAGATAAACACTTAGGTTCGCTTTAACATATTTTGTTTCTCATGTGTCTCCCTTGTAGAAACGTAATTTCATTTGGACGTGCTGTATGGGGAGTGTCTAAATCGACTCACGAGATATCCGATCTCATCCAGTTTCGAACGGGCATGAATGAGCATTGCCATGGAACAACAGCACGGCAGAGTTTCCAGACGGTCACCCGCCCATTCACTCGCATCGCCTAACGTCGCTTAACTTTTATAATATATTTTCCAACAATTGACATGTAACATATTTTCTAAAACTCATAGTATTCTTAGAACTAAAATCAACAATATAACGTTAATATATTATTAGACATTTGTTGTAATTTACCTGGGAATAAAATCCAACCAGTTATACAGAGTGTATCAAAGTATAAGTTGACTGACAGTTTTTGTATAAATATGTTTAGTTACCATAATAATTGTAGTCAATATAAATCATACCGATGTATTTTAATAAATGTTAACATATATCTTTGATGTTTACTGTATTAGATGATTTTGAAACATTCTGTATATTCCTTATTATCTGTACACTGGTATACCAAGGATAGTCTGAATCAAATCTACACTTAAGTGTGAATTTTGTATCCTAAAATGAAAAGGATGGCATCATGATATTATAACTTAATTTTTTTTTGATACTTTAACATATGTTACCGTGTGATAAAAAAAACGGCGTTAAAGACGGTTGGGTTAATGTCAATCGATGATAATTTTGGTGAGGCCAATCTCTAGACGTCATTTATTAAAAATTGATGTCAAAAATTAACACTATAATCATATCCGCAAAAAAATTTTGTGACATACTATTCGGAAATGCTTCCAAATACATAACTGATTCCAGCTAAACGAAAGTTGAGCTAAAGAGAAGATAACGAGCCAAGTAAATAACGGTTAGGGGTTGACCTTGTCAAAATTTTCATCGGTTGTCATTACCCAGCCCTCTTTGACGCCGTTTTTTTTTATCGTATGGCACAAAAGGCTAAATTACCAAAAACTAAATAATCTTGATGTATTCATTAATAATATCTAGGCATATAACAATTATGTGTCTATTTGTGTTTGGTATCATAGTCCATACAATATTTACCTCACAGTTATTGTAATCCAAAAAATAATGTTACATATAGGTAGAATTTTCCGTTAGATATCACAAAATTAAGAGAAATTATTTGGTTTCTTCGCATCTTAAAATTAATTGGCTTCTACAGTTTCCTTTTGCTAAGCCATATTTATGATTAATGCCACCAATGAAGCTCCTAGAAGTAAAATCAAAAAGATTTGGTTTAATATAAGATAGTTTTAGTTTTTTATAGAAAAAAAATAATGATTAATCAAAAGTTGACCAATTTTTTTGGTGTTTAGCCATAATATTGTAACGTTGTACTTATTTTTTGTATCATTAATCTTAATAAAGTAATTTAAAATATAACCAAATCGTCAAGACTGTTCTAGAAGCAAATGCAATCTTAATTTGTAAATTTTAACTGTTTTAGAGTTGTTGTCGATCACTCTGATGGACGAGCGACGTTTAAATTGATTTGTGTACCTTAAGTATTGTAATATATCCTAGTCGAAACACAAATACACAAATGTTACCTTTTATTAAGATGATTTTGAAAATTTAGTATTATAGTTATACATTTATTGTTAATAAATAAATATTTACCAGAAGCAAGTTTGTTAGTTTATATGTCGTTCCTTGAAATACAGTGTATCTCAAAAATAACCCAACAGGCAAAATTTATTGCTGGAACATTGCCAAAACTTCGCAAAGCAAGGTGTAAGTGTGCGAACACAGTGCAAGCAGGTTTGCCGCTTTCTGGTAGCCAGCGCCAATCTGGGTACCTATTCTTGACATCGTTCGCAACTTTGCGTATACGCATCACGTGTATTGTTATAAACAGGGTATCCCAGAAATAAGTGCAAGTATTTTAAAGGTTGGTAGATCTAGATAAAAGAAACATATTTTCCCTTTATCGTTTTTCAAATAAGTCCAAAATAACGGAGTTATTTTACTTTGAAAATTTCCAAAAAAAATGATTTTTTGCTAAAATTTTGAGAACCTTCTTCATGTGCCTTCTCCTCATCGGAGGTTGGCGGCCATCAATCGGAATTCCTCCCTGTCTTGAGCCAAACGGATAATTGCACTTGCCTCTCCTATATTAAACCACTGGCGCAAATTCCGCAAGCAGGAAAACCGTTTACGCCCGATGCCTCGTCGTCCTTCAATCTTTCCCTCAACGATCAGCTGTAGGAAACTATATTTGTTATTTCGAAAAATATGCTGCTTTCCGTCGTTTTATTGTAGTCAATAGTTCTTGGTCCTTACATATTCTTTCCAATACTTCCAGATTTGTTTGAGAACCACTGGATCTTTTCTGGATTTTCTTTCTTATAAATTTAATCTACTATCCATGTTGCCATATTATCAAGAAATTATTTTTTTAAATTTTTTAAAAACTAAAAAAAATTGCAAAAAAATTCCAAAATTATTTTCAAAAAATTCCGAATTTTCCAAAAAAAAATATTTAGAAAAAAACCTCATAGGCGTGTTTCTGGGGTTGAACTATACTACCAGTTAAGTTAAAATACTTGCACGTATTTCTGGGACACCCTGTATATGGTTACATAGTAGCGCCGCGCCGCACCGCGCCGCCTCGCGCTTATAACCATGAAAAAATAAAGCGTGTTATCAAATCGGCTAGTTCACAGTGAAAGCAGGTAGGAGCCGTCAACCAGCGTTCATCGGCGTTCTCGCTTTTACCGGAACGAAAATTTATTTATTTCTGCTTTTGCAGGCGCCGACGGCGCACAGAGGGTATTAAGAACTAAAAGTTGGCCAAAATTATGTTTTATGATTTTTTGCTTTTTGCTAGTAATATTAATTATTAGAGGAGAGGGTGCTAATATGGAACCTCATTTTGTTTTTCCTACACAATATTTTTTCCTCTATTCTGAAACCCTTTCCACCGATCAAATAGGACCATTCTGTGCAAAACCAAGCAATTGGATGAGGATGCTAGAACAAGAAAGTAATTTGTATATTATAGACGATATTTGAGCGAGGATGGGTGTTATAGGGTAAAGACTATTTCCTTTAAGAATCTATTTAAATCAATGTTTTTTTTTTTGGCAGTGGCAAATATTGGCAAGATTTTTGTACATATTCCAAAGCTGAAGACTTTAAGCATTGAACGGATACTAATTTCCATGCGGAATATTGCCGAATAGTCTTACACCTTATAAAATGCCTCTGATTTTTTAAATATAAAACATTATAAAGAAATAGAATAGAAGGAAACGTTTCCAAATAAAAATATGGCATAAAACAGGACTTGACAGCTGGCTCTGTATCCATCATGACAGTTATTATAAACAATTTGCAAAAAAGCACTATAAACAATTCCACTATTTTATAATCTTAGAAATATTCAGAATACACTCAGGATAATTCATACTTATAATTGAAATATATTATTTATTTGATAGTCAACTTACGACTTAAAAAAAGCTAATAAACGTGCTTACATTTAGTATTTATAGGCTTGTATTCAGTTAAGATAAAAAATGAAAATAAAAATATTTCACTTTTGGCCAGGTTTATAGACCAAATACCCCCATGTGCGGCGCCGGCGCGGCGGGAGCGGCGTTTGGATATGGTTAGGTTAGGTTAGGTTAGTTAATCAGGTAAATTTCCTCTTAATTAACTACTTCCGAACCCTGCTCGCATCTCCGAAAAAGCCATATAACAATACACGGCATATACGCAAAGTTACGCATCACGTGTATTGTTATATGACTTTTTCGGAGATGCGAGATGTGAGCGATATGTGGTCAAGAATAGGTCCCCAGAGACGGCGCTGGTTGCCGGAAAGCAGAAACCTGCCTCCACTATGTTCGTACCCTAAGTGTGCGAACACAGTGCAAGCAGGTTTGCCGCTTTCTGGTAGCCAGCGCCAATCTGGGTACCTATTCTTGACATCGTTCGCAACTTTGCGTATACGCATCACGTGTATTGTTATAAACAGGGTATCCCAGAAATAAGTGCAAGTATTTTAAAGGGTGGTAGATCTCGATAAAAGAAACATATTTTCTCTTTATCGTTTTTCAAATAAGTCCAAAATAACGGAGTTATTTTACTTTGAAAATTTCCAAAAAAAATGATTTTTTGCTCAAATTTTGAGAACCTTCTTCATGTGCCTTCTCCTCATCGGAGGTTGGCGACCATCAATTGGAATTCCTCCCTGTCTTGAGCCAAACGGATAATTGCACTTGCCTCTCCTATATTAAACCACTGGTGCAAATTCCGCAAGCAGGAAAACCGTTTACGCCCGATGCCTCGTCGTCCTTCAATCTTTCCCTCAACGATCAGCTGTAAGAAACTATATTTGTTATTTCGAAAAATATGACCAAAATATGCTGCTTTCCATCGTTTTATTGTAGTCAATAGTTCTTGGTCCTTACATATTCTTTCCAATACTTCGATATTTGTTTGAGAACCACTGGATCTTTTCTGGATTTTCTTTCTTATAAATTTAATCTACTACCTATGTTGCCATATTATCAAGAAATTATTTTTTGAAATAAAAACTAAAAAAAAATTGCAAAAAAATTTCAAAAATATTTTCAAAAAATTCCGAATTTTCAAAAAAAATATTTAGAAAAAAACCTCATAGGCGTGTTTCTGGGGTTGAACTATACTACCAGTTAAGTTAAAATACTTGCACGTATTTCTGGGACACCCTGTATATGGTTACATAGTAGCGCCGCGCCGCGCCGCCTTGCGCTTATAACCTTGAGAAATTAAAGCGTGTTATCAAATCGGTTAGTTCACAGTAAAAGCAGGTAGGAGCCGTCAACCAGCGTTCGTCGGCGTTCTCGCTTTTACCGGAACGAAAATGTATTTATTTCTGCTTTGGCAGGCGCCGACGGCGCACAGAGGGTGTTAAGAACTAAAAGTTGGCCAAAATTATGTTTTATGATTTTTTTGCTTTTTTGCTAGTAATATTAATTATTAGAGGACAGGGTGCTAATATGGAACCTCATTTTGTTTTTCCTACACAATATTTTTTCCTCTACTCTGAAACCCTCCGATCAAATAAGGCCACGATCAAATAAGGCCATTCTGTGCAAAACCAAGCAATTGGATGAGGATGCTAGAACAAGAAAGTAATTTGTATATTATAGACGATATTTGAGCGAGGATGGGTGTTATAGGGTAAAGACTATTTCCTTTAAGAATCTATTTAAATCAATGTTTTTTTGGCAGTGGCAAATATTCGCAAGATTTTTGTACATATTCCAAAGCTGGAGACTTTAAGCACTGAACGGATACTAATTTCCATGCGGAATATTGCCGAATAGTCTTACACCTTATAAAAATGCCTCTGATTTTTTAAATATAAAACATTATAAAGAAAGAGAATAGAAGGAAACGTTTCAAAATAAAAATATGGCATAAAACAGGACTTGCCAGCTGGCTCTGTATCCATCATGACAGTTATTATAAACAATTTGCACAAAAAAAAGCACTACAAACAATTCCACTATTTTATAATTTTAGAAATTTTCAGAATACACTCAAGATAATTCATACTTATAATTGAAATATATTATTTATTTGATAGTCAACTTACGACTTAAAAAAAGCTTATAAACCTGCTTACATTTAGTATTTATAGATTTGTATTCAGTTAAGATAAAAAATGAAAATAAAAATATTTCACTTTTGGCCAGGTTTATAGACCAAATACCCCTATGTGCGGGGCCGGCGCGGCGGGAGCGGCGTTTGGATATGGTTAGGTTAGGTTAGGTTATTTAATCAGGTAAATTTCCTCTTAATTAACTACTTCCGAACCCTGCTCGCATCTCCGAAAAAGCCATATAACAATACACGGCATATACGGAAAGTTACGCATCACGTGTATTGTTATATGGCTTTTTCGGAGATGCGAGATGTGAGCGATATGTGGTCAAGAATAGGTCCCCAGAGACGGCGCTGGTTGCCGGAAAGCAGAAACCTGCCTCCACTATGTTCGTACCCTAACATTGCTTTTTTCATTGTGGGGAGGTTTATGCAAGGTGGCAGGGTAGCTTAATCTTCCGCCAAATTACATTGCAGTGCAAGGTTGAAAAACACAATATTATTGAAACGTTGCAAATGTAACGTTCAGGAAAGTACTAATTTGATATGTATTTGTAATATTGTTAATTTTACGTTAATACAATATTGGTAAAATTATATTGTACCTATGTTTCAAAACTTATGATCCATTAAACTTTCTATTTTGTTATACCTTATTAACTGACTTATCGCTAAAATAATATAGCAAAAAATAGATAATGTTTGCAATAAAAACCCCATTTCATTAGCAACATTAGCAATTTTATGCAATTTTATGTTAACAATAATACATCAGTAACAGGTTATAATCAACAGAAACATTAATGGGAATGGGTATTAAATTGTAGACTTTCAGATAGGTATAATATACTTTTACTAATATTGTATTGACGAAAAACAAATAATATTGATAAAAATATGCATATCTCTCTATCCATTGACTTAGAAAAATTAAAAATGCTCGTTATAAATATATCCCTACCAAGAAAGTCGAATTTGTCAAACAAATTGAAAAAAACAAAGAAAAATTAGAAATTTATCACTTACTTGTTTCAAAAATATAAAAAATACTGTCAAGTACTGAGAACTTACTGATCTTTTCGGCTGTTCATTAAATAAGGAATTACACAACTCCAACCTCTGAGTCGAATTTCTAAAAAAATCTTACAAGTCGAATGTCTGAAATAATACAAAATATATAGGTACAGTATAAACATTATTATATATTTCTTATTCAAAAATACAAAAGGAAAGTATAACATTAAATATATGTACAAGGAAAGGCAAACTTATATTTTAATTGATTTTTTGGATCTTTCATATTTTGTCTTCGCATGTTGAATTGTCTTATTCATGGTTTTAAATTCCTCTTCGGTAAAGTTTTGAAATCTATATCCAATCATTTCTAAAGTAGTAAAAATAAAAACAATCAGTTGTAATAAATATAAAACAATGAGTAACTTACCTCTTGTGACAATAATCTTTGAGGCCGCTTTATGTTCTTATTTTAAAAATCTCAAATGATTAAAACAGCATTAAAAAAATATTATTGAGAATAATTAATACTGAATATTGTTTGTGATTTTATCATTAGATTGATATACTCGTATCATGTTTTATCTACTTCAATTTTCAGTTGGCTAAAAGCTAACCTAAAACAAAATTTAGCTTATAAACAAATTAACCAAAATTTGTTATACTTATTCATGGCTAAGCATGAATTACATGCTCACATTTACATTCATTAAAATCTCATTCGAAAAGCATAAAACGTGATACCAAAAACATGCAAAAACGTAAAAAAAAACAAGTGCGTTAACCTAACTTAACTTCTAACTTATACCGTATGATAAAAAAAATGCGTCAGCGATGTCTATGAAAAGAAAATCGCTATCATTTTATATGTAAAATTATATGGGGAATGTCATCGATATTCATTTCCATGCCAACTAGACGCCGTTTTTTTCGATCTTATGGTATATTTGTTATATTATTAATTATTATTAACTTGAGCGGATCTTTCATTTGAATCTTTGTTGCAATGTTGCAGAAAAAACGTTTTAATCATCATTCAAAAACAATGTTTCTGTAGCAAGGTTTCGTCAATCACGACACAATGTTTAGAAATTAACATTACAAAGCAAACTGTTTGGGGATTGACTGCAATGTTGCAAATGTAATATGAGGTTTTCTGCTTGGTGGGAAGTATTTTAAGAGGTTGTAGATATGGCTAAAAGGAACATATATTTTCTTTGTACTATTTTTGAAATAAATTGATATTAACCGAGTTATTGAACTTTAAAAACATAAAAAGATACTGGCAACATTCTGATAGCCACTGGCAGAAATCAATAATCAGCCGTAAATATCAAGCAATTACCAGAATTAAACCCCATGCCTACTATGCGCTGATGCATCGTTTGCATACGTCCGTGCATCCATACACGCATAGTGGGTATGATGCGGTTTGTCGATGGGATTCCTTAGAAGGTATAGTGAGAATCAACCGTATTTATGGCATTTAGGTCTATCTTCAATATTTTATACTGAACGTATATTATTTTTAGTAAACCTAAAACAGTTTTTTTTATTTAAATAACGCTAGTATGCTAATGTCGATTATATGTAAATCGTATTAACCTGGAAAATTTAAATTATTTACCTTTGAACTTCTAGTTTATGATGACATGAAAGTATTTATAAGACACGTACTATATCAATTTTACTTATCAATAAATAGTAACATTTCGTACATTACAGGGCGCGTAAATTTACAAATCCAACCAGAGTTTTAGCATATTTTTTAGCAAATTACATAACTATAGAATTTAGATGGTTCCCTACCATTTAAATTAAATTTAATTTAACTCTTTCAAAAAAATTACATGGTACTTTATTATATTTTAAATGGAAAATTTTAAAGTAGCTTTATTCTAAAAGTTTGTCGCCACTGCATTGTGTTCGTCACTTTCTTACTAAATAGTTTTAATAATTAAACTAAAAAAAATAATGACATATTTGGCCATGATGCTCTGAAACAAAAAATTCAGACGCTTATTCGAGAGTGCAGCGAAAAGGAAAACAAACTCACGTTTGTATGGGTCCCAAGCCACACTAATATGCTTGCCAATACAATGGCAGATGAAGCTGCTCAGCAAGCTGCTAAAAGAGATACCATTGATTTCCTTGATATTAGTAAACATGATTTTAAAGTACTACTGCATAAAAGAACAGAAAGAGAATGGCAACATCGACTCTGTGAACTGAGATGCACTTGGGCAATTATGAAAAAGTTCGGAGTCCCCAACAAATTTCTTACAGTCTGAAAAAGCCTCCATAACAACAACAAGCCAAGAGGGTCACATAATGCATCACCTGAGCGATCCCTTCCTAACAAGTACAGGAGATAGACAAGGATGTGTCTCTCCTATTCAACATATATAATAATGCCTTTATTTCCAAAAAAAAGTAAAATAAAATACAGTTAATTATTAATACATTAAAATAGTAAGAAATCATAGAAATTAAATAATTACACCATCAGAATATATATATATATATATATATATATATATATATATATATATATATATATATATATATATATATATATATATATATATATTATATATATATATATATATATATATATATATATATATATATATATATATATATATATATATATATTAATATATATATATAGTATATATATATATATATATATATATATATATATATATATATATATATATATATATAAATAATATAAAAATCCCAATTTTGGAGTGGAGCGAAATTCAGAAGCATAATGCTTCTGCTCTTCCATTTAACTCCGAATGCATCCGAATGAAGTACAACAAAAAAAAATAGTAAAAGGTGAAATAGATTAAAATATGTCATATGAAAAAAGAACAATAAAAAAATAATAATAATAATAAGCAAAACAAATCAATAAAAAAAACATTGAAAAAAAACTCAATTTCAAAGAAAAAAAAAAAGTTTCAGTTAGATAAAGAAAAAAAAAACCTACTGATTTTCATAAAGCCATCGACAGGTATGCATCTTAAATGTATGAATATTTAGAGTTTTTAGGTTTCAAGGTAATTCATTATATAATTTCGCAATAAATACAATAACTGAACGAACCTTCAAAAGGAGAGGTCTTAATGGTAGGGAATTGTAAGAGTGTCCTTTGCTCTAATATTAACACTATGCGCATTCTCTCTTGAATCGCAAGTTGAATCTTTTCAAACAGGTAAGTTGGTTCTTGGGTAGTAATAATAAAATGATACAGACTCAGTGTGCCCAAACGATGCCTATTCATCATACTGAGCCACTCCAATTCTCGAAATTTATGCGAAACATGGTCAAATTTTCTTAGATTAAAAATATATCTGAAACATGTATTCTGCACTTTTTGTATTCGATACACTTCATGAGTGTTTAAGGTTTGCGAATATAATGGAGCACAATGAGAAAAATGCGACAAAGCTAGGGCATTACACAAGTTAGCCTTGAGCTTATGGCTCAGATAATAACGGTGAGGATACAGTTGTCTCAAACCAGCATATGATTTTTGAATGCAGGACGATACATGCCTGCTATAGGCAAAGGATCTGTCTATTATAACTCCCAGATTTTTTGCCTGTTCGACCACAGGCAGTATGGCACCATTAATTGATAACCTAACCTCGCCGAGGAGATCCTGATAATGATTTCCGCCTGCAAACAACATCACCTTTGTTTTTTGAGGGTTTAATATTAAGTCATATTTAATGGATTCAAGATATATGTTATGTAAATCTAAATTAATTTTATTAAGAGCAAGGCCAAAATCAGTCTTAGCAAAAGACGCATATATCTGCGTATCATCAGCACAAGCGTGTGTATGGGAATACCGGACTACATTTGTTATTTGCGAAGTATAAATACAAAACATAAGAGGCCCCAAGATTGAGCCCTGAGGCACTCCCCGACCTAACTCAACAGGTCCGGAAATGTTTGCTCCCAATCTAACCATCTGCAGCCTATCTGTAAAATAACTCCCAATCATCCGCACCGCATCGTTCGAAAATCCGTAATAATGACGCATTGACATGAGTACGTTATGATTCAAACAATCAAAGGCCTTACTACACGTAATCCAGCAATACAAGGATCGAAATATTACCCCTATCCAGCTCTGTCAATATATCATCCAATATTTTCAGTAAGGCACTCGCACAACTATGACCGGCACGGAAACCCGACTGATGACGGGCCAAAATCTGATTGTTTTTGGCATATGTTTTTATTTGGTCTTTCAATACATGTTCTAATATTTTCGACATATACGGTAATATGCTAATGGGACGTAGGTCCTTATATTCCTTAACATCCGGAGACTTGGGAATAGGCCGGATCAAGGCTATTTTCCATTTTTCTGGAAAATAGTTTTCTAAAATGCAACTGTTTATATGTAATAAAAATTTTTGTATAACTGGATATAACTCATTTTAATCATTGAAGAATTGATGTCATCGATTCCTGAAGCACAAGTTGTTATTTTATTGATTATGGATAAAATTACTTCTTCGTTGATTAAGGTAAAATTAAATTGACAATGAACCAAATTATGATAAGTATTGTTGTTAAAATATTTCAGCTGATATCAAAATAAATTTATATAAAAAATTTGAAACTTTTTCAATTATTTTGTAACCCTAAGTTGTATATTAACAATAGATTTTAGCATGATAATGAAGGCTTATACATTTATTCATCCTCAGGTAATTGTTAAATCAATATTTGTCATTGCTGCTACTGCCTTGTCTACAGGCTGACGTTATGTGCTAGTTAGAGAATTAGTTAAAATTAGACCAGGCCGTCAAATCACAGAGCCAGGATGGCTAACCAAACTGATCAAAATTCTCACTCAACTAAAAGAGAAGTTAACTGGTTTTGGGTACTGATACAGTTGCAGGTAAACGTTTCAGCCATATTCAGCCTTGTTTATTTGTTTAAAAATGGATTCACATGGTCGACACTATTTTTCAGTAAGTACCAATAAAATTTTTCACTAAAATTTATACAAGGTGTCCCAGAAATAAGTGCAGATATTTTAATTGGTATTGTATTTCGACTCCAGAAACACCCCTATGCCTTTTTTCTTGTAAATTTAATCTACTACCTATATGTTGCCACATTATTAAGAAATAATGTTCTTTAAGTAAAAATTAAAAAAAAATCCAAAATGTTTCTAAAAAATTCCAAATTTTAAAAAATACTTTTTTCGCGAAAAAAACACGCCGATGGGTCTCAATAAACTATCTTTCTCGCACTTACTCAATAAACTATCTTTCTGGCTGCTCGATACTCATAAGACTTTCTTATCGCGCTCATTTAAAATCTTTATTCGCGTCTGGCAAGTATTAAATCCCATTGAATTCGTCTGGCAATTAACACATACTTTTTAATATCATCTAATAAATACGCTGTAAAATGTTTAGAATGCCTAAAGTATGTTTTCCAGGTATAAAAATTAAACATATTTGGAATGGTCGGGTTACACTTTAAACCCGAAAAAAAAGTCTGGCATACTTATTTCTAAGTTAAATAGATGCTAAAGTTTAAGAATAAACAAATTTCAAGTTGCCTAAAGAATGTTTTTTGGATTAATTATTTTGCAAATGTTATGGGTTGCGCAGTATCGAAATACCCCCAACCCCCCAGCCAGACTTAGGATTCTGGGTTCACCAGTTAATAAACTATACATTTTCAGTTATTCTAGCTTGCCTAAAATATGTTCTCTAAATATATAGTCAGCTCTTAGGCTATTATATCTAATGGCAACCACTTACACAACAAATTTATTTAATAAGCGGACGATTAACCAATTATTGTTTGCTATAAAACGGCTTCTTTAAATTTAAACTTTTTCGAATAGCCTCCCTATGGACAATCCCAACTTCTCATCTCTTTATGTTGCTTTGACCACACATATTCTGCACTACCATCCGATGTGTTCAATCTAATTTAATTATGAATTACATCATATTATGAATTTTTAGGTATATTGGTGGTATTCTTGGGCTGGCTAGGTGAAACGGCTGGTTCCCATAGATTATGGGCACATCACACCTATGAAGCTAGTAAAGGCCTGAAGATATTTTTGATGCTCTGTCAAACTGCAGCTGGTAGCGTAGGTATTTCTTAGCTAATATTATGGATTTATGGTTTCGTTGAGAAAAAGAATGAATATACAGTATGTCCCCAGATTGTCTTTACAAGAGGAAAAACTTTTTTATTATTGACAATTTGAGTAATATGCATTCTTCATAAAATTTTTTGCTTGTTCTAAAATGGTTAATCCCGTTTAGAGTTTTCCAAATTTCCATACCGTTTTAGAAAAAATTAAGAAAAACATAAATCTATATAGTGGAATTTTCCTAACGAAATTTTCCTAAGGAAAGTCCTAATAACCAAAAGGCGTATATCAATGGTATAGTGTGACCAACGGATCTGTAGCTACGGGGTATCGGCAGGGGAACGCAGTTGTAAACAAAACACGCCCAATTTCATTCATAAAATAGGCATGGGCGTACGGTGTTATATGAAAATAATGTGTATCATAAATATAATACTCAGATTAATAATTTTTTTCAAAAAACTTTATGCTGTTTGAATCGTTACTGTTGAGTTAGCAGATAAACACTAAAAGCTTTTATTAAAGCTCTCTTAAATATTTTGAATCATTTTATTATTGTGTTGTTAATATAATAGAAGAAATAATTACAGCTGGGGGTTGGAACCTTTGGTGTTACACAGCAAAATAAAACACTAATCAGTACAATACACCAAAACACTTTTAATTTTACACTGGACGCACGTTTCGCTAACCATGTCTGCCATCAGCAGATGATCAAGACTGAGTCTTGAGGTATATTTATTTATATATCTGTACTAACTATATTTTTTTTCTAAAATACATAATTTTAGATATAACTATTTCCAGCAAAAAAAATCTTGAAAATTGTTAACTTTGGAAGCGCAAACAAAACATAATTTTACTCACCAGTAGATCCAATATTGCCTATTACACCAGATATGGTATCGCTCCTTGGCTATATTTTCGAATTTCGCGTATATATTTATATCTCTCTCTGCAATATTTGTAATTAATTATATCTCCCCCGCCAAAAAAATTCATTTGATTTTAATAACCCCCTAAGCGTTTCCCTGCAAAAGGAAAATTCGATTCTTCTGGCAATTTTTGCAAAAGCTTTCTAATTGTGGGGACGAGTTTGAATTCGAGATAAAATCTATTTATCAAATTCCTGACCACTTCGAAAAAGTCGTAGAGCTTTTCGACAGCAGTCTCTCGTTTCTTTCCAGAGCTGGATATCATTTTATCGGGGTTAGTTTTCAGCCTTCTGTGTGAATTTTTTTATAGACGATACGCTAACTCCGGTATAAAGAAATATCCGCTCAAGTTTACGTTTAAGCGGCAACTTATGGGAACTCTCTGTAGCTTCTTCATCGCAAACCCTATTATGATCACAAGGAAATAAATCAAATGAGATTTCATCCACGTTATTATTAACTTACCTATATAAATTACCTATTATTTCTCTTGTCTGACTATGTAGCCTCTTACCCTTAACAAATTTATTCATTTTAAAACACAAATATACGATCAAACTTGATATTAATAATTAAAAACTACGAACGAAAAACATTATAACAAGATAACAAAACAATAAAACACAACCTAACTATCAAATATACGAAAAATATAGGAATAAAGTTTAGGATAACCGGTATAAAATAATTAAATAAAGTAATAATGATCAAAAAAATTACACCGCCACTGGATATTTCAATAGTATTCAATATTCCTACTCTTTTCAGAAGAGACTGTGAAGTTGGGGATAAAGCAAGCGAATAGGAAAGGCGTAAAAGCCATGGAAACCGCGTGGTAACAAATCCTGTGACGTACTTCGCCAATCATGTTCGATGAATAGGCGGCCATGCGCGGCGATGCTGGTTTGCCAATTATATCGTTGAAAAATCTCAACTTTCGTAATAAGCAGATTATACAGAATGAAAGAAATATGTTATTAAATAAAACATATCGAACAATATGAACTACGTTAAAATTCCTTAGTAATATACGTCAGAATATATGCTAAACACATTATATATAATAAAAATATATTACATTTATAGTTCATCTCTAGCAATTTTGCAATTTTATAGATAAACGTGGCAATATCGATTTTTTTTTCTCGCATTCCTTCCGTAGCTTCAGATCCGCTGGTCAAACAGTATATATCAATTCAATTTCAATTTTTGATAGATGTTTGATAGATAGTTATCATTAATTTTGATTAACGTCAAATTTTTTCCTGTTGTTAAAGTATCACATTTTCGGATAACTATTACCACCCTTTCTGTAAATTGAACTAAATCAATTTTGTATTTCTTTAACGTTTTAAAACAGCAAAAATTATGACGTTCATTAAAATTATACCAATAAAAACCTAACAAAGAATGAAAACGATATCAGAGACGAAATTATATTTCAATAGAAACGTGTTTTGATTTTTAAGACTTGATTTGAAATTCCATGTTTTTCTTAATTTTTTCTAAAACGGTATGGAAATTAGGAAAAGTATAAACGGGATTAACTATTTTAGAACAAGCAATTTTTTTATGAAGAATGCATTTTTCTGAATGCATTCTCACAATATCATATTGTATAAAATATCTAAATACTACAACTATTCATGAATACATTAGTCTCTAGTAGATACAGTATAATTTCAATAGTCCGGACAATCTCTATTAATTCGGATACTGCTATTATTCGGGCATTTTAAAACATTTATATATTACTAAACTCTGCAGATGCTTCAGCAATATAATTATAACAATACAATAAAATTTAAATAAATTGGATAAATTGGTAAAAAGTCTATTATTTATAGTTCAGAGTCTATAGGGTCCTTTCACAGATGACATTACTATGTTCATTAGCGTAACTAGCAATTTATCCTGGGGTGGGCCTGGGGGGGGGCCCGGGAATGTGACCGGCGGGGGGGCTAGGGCTTTTGTTTTTTTATAAATGAAAAAAAAAAAATAAAAAAACACATTTTTTGAATGAAACGTTTACATGAATTTCTCTATCAGTAAATTTCATAGACTTGGTTATCAAACCATGTTCCCGTAGATTACTTAAATACCTACAAATTTTTTAAAAAAAATAAAAATTAACACATTTTTTGAACACAAGAAAATAATATTAATTAAACAAAATTAGAAAACGTCATTTTTACTGCATCATCTTTTTTGAACATCATGCATCATCTTTTTTTACGTCATTTTTACAGCATAATAAAAATTAATACGTAGCCAAGAGTTATAATTCAGGATTTCTCTGGGGGGTGCCCAGCAGTACAGCAGTACCTAGGGGGAGGGGCCGGCACCCCCGGGCACCTCTGTAGTTACGCCAATGACTATGTTATCTCTTGTTCTTCCATTACAATTTTTTCACTGTTAAAATCTACTGTATGTTCTAGTCCCACAAATGGTATCAAATCTGGGTTTTAGAAAAATATATAGAAAAATATAGTACCTACTTTTATTATACCAGTACTTTTATTATACACCAAATATCCATTACAGTTTAGATGTTATCGAATACACGTCCATTAAAAAATGGTGATATGTTTTGATCACTATCTGATATATGTCGATGACATACCTAAAGGTTGGAGGATTTTAAGGTACCTACTCTTCAATACAGGGTTGTTCACCACATACGACGCGGAGTATTGTAGCTAAACTATTTAATTTTTGCAAATTGTAAGTTTTGGGTTCGTTGAAGGACTATTACAGCTACTATTTAAAAATATTTTTACAAGATACAGAGTGTCCCAAATAAATAAAAAATATCAAAGTTGTATTTTTTTATACAAAATAAAGGTAAAAAAAAGGTATTTGAAATATTTAGGTTTTTGTCAAAATACAGTAATAATTATAATGCTTTATTTCTCTAGGCAAATTTAAGTTTTTAAAACCAAATATTGTACTGAAGTATTTCTATTCACTAAATTTTGTGCTGCAATAATAAAAATTATACTATCTTATACAGAGTTTCTAAAAATTTATTTTAAATAATAACTAGTTTTAAACGGCAATAACTTCTTTAATTTAAATGGAACACCCTGTATATTTTATGAGAATCAGATGCACAATTTAATTGTCTATTAAATTATATTATATCATTTTTTACCTATGTCTTCAGGTTTTCGTAGAAAATGCATTTTCTTATAATTTAGACCTCAATTATCAATATACACATGGAATATTGACATTTTAGATTATTTTTAAAGATGTAACAAATTTTTAAAGGTTCAGATACCAATATTGTCGAAATAGTTCGTTTATGTCATTAAAAAATAAAAAAAATGTTTGAATATTTATAGAAAGGACCAATTAATATGATTCCAGTATTCAAACTACAGTAATGGATTGCTTGCATTGATTAATAATAATTGCTCCAAATACTAAAAACTGCATTTTGTATGTATATTACTCTTTGACCAGCGGATCTGAAGCTACGGAAGGAATGCGAGAAAAAAAATCGACATTGCCACGTTTATCTATAAAATTGCAAAATTGCCAGACATGAACTATAAATTTAATATATTTTTATTATATATAATGTGTTTAGCATATATTCTGACGTATATTGCTAAGGAATTTTAACGTAGGTCATATTGTTCGATATGTTTTATTTAATAACTTATTTCTTTCATTCTGTATAATCTGCTTATTATGAAAGTTGAAGATTTTTCAACGATATCATTGGCAAACCGGCATCGCCGCGCATGGCCGCCTATTCATCGAACATGATTGGCGAGAGTACATCACAGGATTTAAAAAAGATAAAAAAAAGGCTGGAAACTAACCCCGATAAAATGATATCCAGCCCTGGAAAGAAACGACCACGTGAGACTGCTGTTGAAACGCACGACGATTTTTTCCAAGTGGTCAGGAATTTGATAAATAGATTTTATCTCGAATTCAAACTCGTCCCCACAATTAGAAAGCTTTTGCAAAAATTGCCAGAAGAATCGAATTTTCCTTTGGCAGGGAAACGCTAAGGGGGTTATTAAAATCAAATGAATTTTTTTGGCGTAAATGTCAAAAAAACAGATAAATATTAATGGAGCGGCCCATTAAATTGCAGAGAGAAATATAAATATATACGCGAAATTCGAAAATATAGCCAAGTATTATCTATTTGGATGAAACATATGGGTCGACAATAACCTAACCTTTAAAAAGTGCTGGCGGAGCGATACCATATCTGGTGTAATAGGCAATATTGGATCTACTGGTGAGTAAAATTATGTTTTGTTTGCGCTTCCAAAGTTAACAATTTTCAAGATTTTTTTTTGCTGGAAATAGTTATATCTAAAATTATGTATAATAGAAAAAAAATATAGTTAGTACAGATATATAAATAAATATACCTCAAGACTCTGTCTTGATCATCTGCTGATGGCAGATATGGTTAGCGAAACGTGCGTTCACTGTAAAATTAAAAGTGTTTTGGTGTATTGTACTGATTTAGTGTTTTATTTTGCTGTGTAAGACCAAAGGTTCCAACCCCCAGCTGTAATTATTTCTTCTATTATATTAACAACACATAATAATAAAATGATTCAAAATATTTAAGGGAGCTTTAATAAAAGCTTTTAGTGTGTTTATCTGCTAACTCAACAGTAACGATTCAAACAGCATAAAGTTTTTTGAAAAAATTATTAATCTGAATATTATATTTATGATACACATTATTTTCATAAAGCACCGTACGCCCATGCCTATTTTATGAATGAAATTGGGCGTGTTTTGTTTACAACTGCGTTCCCCTGCCGATACACCGTAGCCAAAGAGTAGATAAGACAAGAGACGACAGTTCGCGCGGTACCTTTCATGTTTGAGTGGTGGGGAGAGTGACCTCGTCTCGCTTGTCCCTTTAAATTTTCGTAACTTTTTTGCGGGAAATTTGAAATAGACTATTATTAAAATTTGCCTGTATAGCTTATAAATAGTTACTGTGTGGGTAAAGAGATAAATAGAAACGAAAAAAAAATGAGTTTTCTAAATATTATATAAAATAAATTATAATTAGAAACATATTTGTCGGGGAATAAAGATAATAAAAGCAATATTTTGTATATCGTTGGTAAACAAGAGAAAGTGACCAAGTCGATTTGTAAGAAATGTTTTATTTACGTGTATTTTTTTTACATATGGACTTGAACAAGTGTAATATCACAATGTGGAGTTTATGTACAAAAAAATAGAGTTGCTCAATTTTTATTTAATAAATCCTCGCAATTACAAGCTTCTAACCATGTCTTCGATCTATGGATTACATTTAGTTTAATAACATAATTATATAGTATATTTCTATAAAAATACTTTTCAGGATCCTTTGGAAAAGAGTGAAATATTATGTTTGTCGAAGAACAAGACCTATTTTTGCAGTCTTTATAAGCACACACAATGCCACCATCTCGTCTTTTCCTGCTACTCGTGTCCTGTTCAGTATTCATATTTAACAATAATTACAAATTAGAACGCAATAAAAACGATACTAAAATTAAACCTTAAAAACTCTCAAAACGATAATATATCGAAAAACTCTGAAAACACACTTTAAAAAGGCAAAAATGCAAGAAAACAACTAATCAGATTTGTTTATGTTTAAGCCTGATTAGCACAGCTGATTAGCGTCCTAAAATCTTAGGTTCGAATAAATAAAATGCGCAGTTGTCAGATTTTCAGATTTTATTCTGTTTATCTTTGAAATCGACCAACTTTAGTCATTCTGTTTCTTTGATATTATCAGTACATTGCGAAAAAAGAACCTAAACCAACCTAAACTAAAAATTTACATTTCCGTATTAACATACGTTACTTTATATCCTTCTTATATTATTAATTTATTTTCAGAAAATCTTGTTTATTTTTCAAAGAAATATACTTGGCAACAGACAAAATGGGACTTGATGGGACCTTTAAATTTTAATATATCTGCGTCTCTCTCGCGAAATTCGACTTCTTTGTTCACTGTCGTCTCTTGTCTTATCTACTCTTTGCCGTAGCTACAGATCCGTTGGTCACACTATACACAGTGTGGTAAAAAGTAACACCTTAAAAATGTTATTTCATTTTTTGATGAATGCTTATTTATAACAGCAGAGATGTTCATTTTCAACTTTATTATTTTGAAGATTTGTTTTCTAGTAGCGAAAAACCCAGACCTTTTCAAGAAACTGGTAGTTATTTACAAATAGTATATTATTTTGTATATAAAGAATTTGGGATTGTGATTATGTATAAAGCAGATTTTTTAACAACCTGTTCTTATAGGAAATAACCAAGAAATAACATATTTGTCTCGGTATTTCCTAAATATTCAACTTTTTAGGGTACAATATATGGATGGGTGAGATGGCACCGGCTTCATCATAAACATTTCAAGACTGAATTAGATCCGTTCAATCCAAAAAGGGGATTCTTCTATTCCCACTATACCGGATGGACCAGAAAGTTAAGTCCTGCCCAGGAAAAAGTTTTAGAAGAAATCGATTTCAGTGATTTAGAAAATGATAAAATCGTAATGTTTCAAAAAAGGTATTGGTATTGTTATAGAATTAAAAAATATGTTTATAAATCTCTCGCTGTCTTTATTCCTACATGAGGAATGTAGTTGTCAAATGATGTGTGTTATTTGTCTCCATAGTTTGTTATCTTCTGCTTCATATACAAGCGTGTGCAGTGTTTAGTGGGGAGGATTTGAAAGCTGGTCAGTCCATCGGTCGTTATAAGTAAGCTAGTCTACAGGGTTGTTCACCATATACGACACGAAGTATTGTAGCTAAACGATGAGATTTTTACAAATTGTAAGTTTTGGGTTCGATGAAGGACTATTAGAGGTACAATTTAAAAATAATTTTACAAGATACAGAGTGTCCCAAATAAGTAAAAAATAACAAAGTTGTATTTTTTTAAATGGAACACCCTGTATATTATTACATTTTTAGTTTCTACGATTAAAATAAAGGTAAATTTGATTAAGATTTATTATACTTAAACCTTACCGTTTTTGAAATATTTTCAATTTTGTGAAATTGCAGTAAAAATTTTAAGGCTTCATTTCTCCAAAAGGGTATCAAAGTTTTTAATACTATATATTTACTGAAGTTTATTTACTGATCAGTTATTGTGTTGCAATAATAAAAATAATACTACCTTATACAGAGTGTCTAAAAATTTATTTTAAATAATTATTAGCTTCAAACGGCAATAACTTGTTTAATTTAAATGGAACACCCTCTATATTTTACGAGAATCAGATGCACAATTTAATTGTCTATCAAATTATATTATACCATTTTTTACCTATCTCTTTAAGTTTCCGTAGAAAATGCATTTTCTTGTAATTTAGACCTCAATTATCAATATACACATGGAATATTGACATTTTAGATTATTTTTAAAGATGTAACAAATTTTTAAAGGTACAAATACCAATATTGTCGAAATAGTTCGTTTATTTCATTAAAAAATAAAAAAAAACTGTTTAAATATTTGTTAAAGAGATTATATCTCTTATTATATACTATTATTAATATGATTCCAGTATTCAAACTACATTAACTGACTGTTTGCGTTGATTAATAATAATTGCTCCAAATACTAAAAAACTGAATTTTGTATGGGCATTAGACAGTGTGATAAAAAGTAACACCTTAAAAATGATATTTCATTTTTTAATAAATGCTTATTTATAACAACAAACACTTTAATTTGATAACTTATTATTATATTGATTTCTGACTCAAAAATCCACATTTATTTATAATAATTTATTAACGAACACAATTAAGTATGTCATTAATTAGTATATGGGCGTAAATAATGGTGTTATATTTAATTAATGGTATACTCTTTTATAAAGATTTAAATTAGGCTAGTAATATTATCGTTTTGCTAAAAACGATAATATTACTAGTCTGTACATTTTGTACATTTCTTGCTTTAAAAACAATCTAAAATGTCAATATTCCATGGATATATTGATAGATGAGGTCTAAATTATAAGAAAATTCATTTTCTACGAAAACTTGAAGGGATAGGTAAAAAATGGTATAATACAATTTGATAGACAATTTAATTGTGCATCTGATTCTCCTAAAATATATAGAGCATTCCATTAAAATTAAAGAAGTTATTGCCGTTTGATAGCTAATAATTATATAAAATAAATTTTTAGACACTCTGTATAAGGTAGTATTATTTTTATTATTGCAACACAATAACTGATCAATAAATAAACTTCATTAAATATTTAGTATTAAAAACATTGATACCCTTGGAGTAATGAAACCTTAAAATTTTTACTGCAATTTCACAAAATTGAAAATATTTCAAAAACGGTAAGGTTTAAGTATAATAAACCTTAATCAAATTTACCTTTATTTTAATCGTAGAAACTAAAAATGTAATAATATACAGGGTGTTCCATTTAAAAAAATACAACTTTGATATTTTTTATTTATTTGGGACACTCTGTATCTTGTAAAAATATTTTTAAATTGTAGCTCTAATAGTCCTTCAACGAACCCCAAACTTACAATTTGTAAAAATCTCATCGTTTAACTACAATACTCCGTGTCGTATGTGGTGAACAGCCCTGTATATTATTTCTTTTTTATTTCTTTAGCATATCGTCACCCTAGAATTAGGTTGTTCTATATCCACTTTTGGGGTAAAATGAGTTACATACACCATTTTTTTATGCAGAATTAGCTTGTTCTATATCCACAAAAACAATATAGCCAAATTCACAAATAAAGAAAAAAAAATATAATATTTTGTACTATCCAAAAATTGCTATTTAAGGCTACATCCCTACATCCTACAGTTTGTAGTAAAAAAAATAGAATTATTGCGTTCTTTATCCTAAGAAGTGGATATGGAACGAAAATACCAGATCAAAAAATATGTTACTATGCATAAAAATTAGATTGTTCTATATCCATTTATTCTCGATCTCTTTCTCTCTAACATACAATGTATGTATCTGTTTTTATTTAAATTTAAGGCTTTTGTTTTAAGCGGGTGAAATTGCACCACTAAACGTTCGTTTGTCAAATAGGCGGCAAATCGTTTCGTTTGAAAAGCACTGATTGCCTGATTTGTTAGCAAATTCGAATGTTTCACACTTTGGAATTTCGTGAAGCTGCTTCAACTCAATTGACTGCTCAACCGTTCGTTTGAAAAGCACTGATCGTCTGATTTGTCAGCAAATTTGAATGTTTCACACTTTGGAATTTCGTGAAACCAGCTGCTTCAACTCAACTGACTGCTCAATCGTTCGTTTGAAAAGCACTGATTGCCTGATTAGCAAATTTGAATGTTTCACACTTTGGGATTTCGTGAAACCAGCTGCTTCAACTCAATTGACTGCTCAATCGTTCCCTCCTACTATCAATACTAGAGATAGCTAAAAAACATTTAAATAATCCAATGAAAGTTATAAATCAGATTTAAAATCTGATTAAGTTATTCTATACAACACTATACATACCAAACAAATAGGCGAAAAAAATGATAGTTTTTAATAAACACTGCAGACGAATAATTAATACTATTGTATTTTAGGTTTTTATTTTTTTATGTTGTTTTTAGTTAATGTCTTTATGTCTCCACTTCAATTATTTTGTGCTGAAATAATATTTTGAAATACCAATCAATCAGATTAAAATGAGTATTATATTATTCTATATCCCCTTATTTTGTTCTATATCCCTCAAATCGGCTCAATGCACAGCTAATAGACACATTTGTTCTATATCCAAATCTAAAATCACTAATATCTTTTAAATAAAGCTTCTAAAAGTAAAATCAATACATATGTTTGATAGGTTTTTTTATTACCTTTAATTTATATGTTTAATAGAATCATTTTGGTATACAGAGAAGAGCAGGCTACTAGTAACATAGCAACTTGCCGGACTAATTTACGCTTACCCGATTGCGTTCGTACTTGAGATTCACTACCGGCTAGTCGACTGGTTAGGCAGTACGCAGTTGCAGTTGTGCTTGGACGGGTCGGTCGTGACAGACTAGGAATACGACGCGAGGAGTGCCGAGTATTTATTATTTTCATTTTAAGTGTTTACCTTCACTTAAGGTAACATTTAAAATAAAAATACTTAAATATTTATTATTTGAGTGTGTTTACAAGCCAAAACTAAAAACAAATAAATTCTCTAAACCCAAAACTCATTTCGAAAATTAAAAAATACATCAATAAAATAAAAAAAAACTAAAATATTACTCTAAATAAAAAAAGTTATAACAAGTGTTCAAAAATAACACCTTCTTGTGCTAGACAGAAGCCTAGGCGGTCGTAAAATCCCCGTCTGACATTGGCTAACATATTAGGGCTAATAGTTTGGAAAGCCTCGCGTATTTTTACTTCCTTTAAGCTCATCCAGATTATTAGTCCTATTATGACCATACACTTTGGATTTTACATAATCCCACAAAAAGAAATCATCGAGAGAAAGATCTGGTGATCTAGCGGACCACAAAATAGTTCCATATCCACTAATTAAACGGTTGGGAAAAGTATTGTCCAAATATTCTTGAACAATACGGGCATTGTGGGCAGGGCAACCATCTTGTTGAAACCAGATATTGTGGAATCTTTCTCCCAATAACTCACGAATTCTAGGCACAATCTGCTGCTGTAACAAGTCCAAATACTTTGCAATAGTTAAATTACCCTTTATAAAAAATGGACCAATCATATGCTCCCCTACAAAACCACCCCAAACATTTAGCTTTTGAGGATATTGCGTGCGTACCTCAAAATATCTGTGCAAATTTTCCCGAGACCAATATCGCACTTGTGTAGTGTTATGACGACTCATTAAATGAAAACTTGATTCGTCTGTTAAAACTATACGCCGAATAAAGTTTTCATCTAAATTGGTCTTTTCCATTACAGATTTACAAAACGCCATACGCCGAAATTGGTCTTCATGGAAAATTTCTTGAGTTTTGCGCGCTTTATACGATCGGTATCCATTCTTTTTAAGGACTCTTTTAACCGTGCTAGATGAAGAATCTGTTACCTCAGCAATTTAATTACTTGAAAACGTGGGATTTTGATCTGCGGTAGCTCAAATGAACACTTGCTTTAACTCCTGTTCTTCATTAATCAACACATCAGGCTCTTTTTGTTTTTGTGGGAACACGTACCCATGTGTTTCAAAATTATTAATAACTCTTGATATAGTAGGTAAAGATGGAATTGGCCTGTCTACAAAAGTTTGTGGAAAAATTGTTTGTATATCCCGATAAGACCTATTTTGAAAATACCATTTTACAATTTGAATTTTTTCATGATCGTAATTATCCATTATTTTACTTAAAAAATAAATTTTACATGAGAACTGTCGCGAGAATCTATGTATTCGTTCTGGCTATTAAAACACGAATAAATACAAATTCTGAAACATTCTTATCACATATCTACCTATTTTTATTTTATCGCATTTGTTCGCCTACTTTTTATCCGGCGGACGGGTATACGCTAATTCGTCCGGTTCTGCCTATGTTACTACTACGGTGGTCCGGTCTGTATAATATCATATCGTGCAATTGCCAAGTTTGTGGTTTTCTTCCCAAGTAACTTCTTTTGTTTCCTCAAAGCCCTAATGAATGTCATTTAGTTGAAACGATGTTTGCTATCTATAAAAATGTATTTACAATCGAATCAATGTTCTACTGGTCTTTTCTTATGTCCTACAAGCTGGATCTTGGTCTTGCGTATTGCAGTGGTCGATCTTAGTCTTCGTCTTGGTATTGCAGATCTAACGCTGGCCTTGGTCCTTGTTTTTGTGCAAAACAAAGACTGGTAAAACGCCACTTGTTTACAATGGTAGCGTTAACTTATACTATTAATTTATACTTAACTATTCATTATGTTATTTTCATTATTTCAGGTGGTACTATTTGCTGGCATTTTTGTTCGTCTTTCTACTACCCACTAATGCTCCTATAGAGTACTGGGGCGAAACCATGGCTGTAAGCATAGCAGCTGCCACCTTAAGATATGCCATCGTGCTGAATCTTACGTTACTCATCCAAAGTGCTACAATCATATGGGACTTGAAAGCTGGCGAAAAGTAAGTTATTCCTGAATAGTACTGAATATTCCCATGAAAAATTATAATAAATTGAAAAAAAGAGGAATTTAACCCCCTGTAGCTACGAAACGAAGTAATATCAGGCTTATATTAATACATACACCGTAAAAGTCTAGGGATATTACAATTTTATCCCGCCATCGTCAGTAATTTTGTTATTTGCATTTCTAATATAATAAAATTAAAATAAACAATTAGTTTACAGGACGTATTAGAAATAAAAATGCGAAATTTTTAAAATTTACCTTTATTTTTATTGAACTCAAAAAAATACACACCTTTTTTTTTGTTCTAAACTATGAATTAAAAGAAACAAAGATAAAATCATTTTTACTTAATAAAGGGTATGGCCTCCTCTACTGTTCATTACAGCCCTACATCGTCTCTCCATGCTCCTGATCAGGATGTCGATCTCTTCTTGAGGTACAGCCTGCCACGCTGCATTCACGACCCGAACCAGATCCCTACGAGTTTCACGAGGCATACCCATTCTCAAAATTCTTCTTTGGACCGCGTCCCATACGTGCTCGATGGGGTTGAGGTCAGGAGATTGTGCCGGCCAGGGTAAGATGTTTAATTGATGAGCATTGATAAACTCACTTACCACTCTGGCTGTATGAGGCCGAGCATTGTCATGCATGAGAATGAAGTTTCTCTCAAAATCATTGGCATATGGTAACACGACAGGCTCAAGAATTAAATCACGATATGTTTTTCCTGTTAGAAACCTTTCAAGAAAAACGAGATCGGGTTTTCGGCCTAACTGGACTCCTCCCCAGACCATAGCTGTTCCACCTTGATAAGGGTGCACTTCCTGAACATGATTCAACCGAATAAGATTTCCCGGTTCTCTCCACACCCTAAGCCTTCTCGAATCCGGATGAATTCCAAAGCGTGACTCATCCGTGAAGATAACATTAGCCCATTGTTCATTCGACCACTGAATATGATCTTGAGCCCACAAATATCGTACCTCTCGATTTCCTCTCGTTAAGGGTTGAGCTCTCCAGGGGCGTCTGCTTCTTAAGTTGCCCTCTCTTAATCTATTGCGAACAGTGTCAGGACTAACGGTTACATTATGTGTTTCCTGGAGAATTAAACTAAGCTCTGGTGCTGTAAGAGTCGGTCGGCGTCGAGCATTTAATTGTAAAAAATTATCTTGCTGAGGGGTAGTAATGCGATGTCGCTCTGTGTGCCTCTCAGCAACATCACCACTTTCACGATAGCGTGCATTTAATCGCGATATTACACTTTGCGTTGTATTTAATGCTCTAGCTACGTCGATTTGGCGCATTCCAGCTTCGAGCATACCCATGGCCCTTAGCATTTCGTCTCTGTTAAGATGTTTACGCTCCATAATATCGTTTATTACTAAACATAGTTATTTGAATGAATTCTGGCCAGTTATCATAAAAACATAGCCAGTACAGGTTAAATTCGAACAACTGATGCTAGGTGCTTTTTATACATTTGACAAAAAATGCACAAACACTTCTGCAAATATCCCAAATTTAGAAATAACTAGTGTTACTACTTCGTTTCAATCGAAGTAGAAAGAATCGGCCTACAAATATGTGGTTGTTTATTCAAAAAATTTATTTTTAACTTTAATAAAATTATATCCCTAGATATTTCCGGTGTGTGTATATCCTGTATAAATATAGGGCAAGTGCAAGTCCCTCAGAAATATGTGTAAGTATTTTCAGGTGTGGTAGATCTGGTCAAAAGAAATATATTTTCTCTCTACCGATTTTAAAATAAATTGATAATGACCGAGTTATTTAACTTTGAAAATTTTAAAAAATCATGGCAATATTTTGAGAATCGCCGCCAGCAATCGATGATCAGCCCAAAATTACCAGAATCTCAGCTTGTTCGACGCTCGGTGTTGATAGATGAACTAGAGAGATTTTAAAACGACCTGAAAATTTCAGATTAAAAGTCAAAAACTTACCTAACAATAGAAAACGGGTTTCCGATAGATAGCAGATCGATTTCATAAGGTTAGAGCGTAGTTTTATCACTTTACCTAGAACATACACTTAACAACACTTTATTTCACTGCGCTTCAGCACTACACTTTTATTAACAGCACTACACTTAAAAAAGTGTATTTGCCACAAAATCCGTTCATATACAGGGTATCCCAGAAATAAGTGCAAATATTTTATCTGGTAGTATATTTCGGCCTCAGAAACAAGCCTATGAGGTTTTTTTTGCAAAAAAAAAATTGAAAATTTGGAATTTTTTGAAAAAAAATTTGGATTTTTTTTTAGTTTTAAGTTAAAAACATAATTTCTTGATAATATGGCAACATAGGTAGTAGATTAAATTCGCATGAAAGAAAATCCAGAAAAGATCCACTGGTTCTCAAAATTTAAGCAACAAAGCATTTTTTGTTTTTTTTGGACTTATTTGAGAAATGTAAAGAGAAAAAATGTTTCTTTTGACCAGATCTACAACACCTTAAAATACTTGCACTTATTTCTGGGACACCCTGTATAATGAATTATTTAGGATTATTTTTAGGGATTTAAACTCCTCAACCGGGTGCACCTGAAAACTGGCTCACCCCTATAACTTTTATTTTTTCAGATAATAAAAAACGAGATTTGTTATCTATACTAATATATAAAATCCTTAAGTGACTGACATACTGATTAATCACGATCCTGCTCAAACCACTCAACGTAAGAAGCTCAATTTTGGCATACAGGTTGATTCTAGGGTGTAGAGGTTCGATAAGAAGGGATTTTTCGAAATTCCAGTTCCAAGAGGGTGAAACCACCCCTCAAATATTACAATATTGTTATTTAAAAAACGGCCAAGTTTTCGAAAAAACGCTTAAACACGTATATTTTATTTTGTTTTTTACATATTTTAAGATTTTTTAAAAATGTATACAGGGTGTTTTGAAAAATCTGGTCATTGATTAATTACGATCCTACTTAAAGCGCTACTTAAAATATGACCATTGAATAATCACGATTCTGCTTAAACTGCTTGACGTTTAAAACAGATTTTTGGCAAACGGATTGACTGTGGAGTGTAGAGGTTCGATAAGGAGGAGTTTCTCGAATTTCAAATTCTAAGAGGGTGAAAACGCCCCTCAAATATTACAATATTTGTTATTTAAAAAACGGTTAGTCTTTCGGGAAAACGCTTGAATAACCATAATTTATTTATTTTTTTTACATATTTTGAAATTTTTTAAAAAATTATACAGGGTGTTCCAAAAAGTTGGGTAATTTCTTAACCACGATTCTGCTTAAACTGCTTGACGTAAAAAGCTTATTTTTGGCAAACGGATTTTTCGAAAATCAAGTTCCAACGAGATGAAACTACCCCTCAAATATTACCAAGTTATATAATAATATCGCCATATTGTTTTTTTCTCATGCTGACATAAATGTGAGAAAATTTTATCCAGTTTGTATGTTAATGGAAATTCTTGCTTTGCTTTATCATCACCATTACAAATTATTAATTCGACGCAAACGAAGTCGCTGGTACACGCTAGTGTTAGTATATGACTAAAATTAGGATTGACTAACTTATTCAATTCTTTTGGGCCACTTCCTGTTTCACCGGAAATGGCTAGAACTTTTGATTTTTAAATGGTATCCTCGGTATATTTTTATTCTATTTGATAGAAAATGACACTCTGAATAAAATGACATATCATTGGTAAACTTTTGACATTTTCGCTTAAAACAAAATTTAATTTTAAATTTCAATCTAGAATGCCATGGCTGTGTTAAAGACACTAATTTTCAATCTAGTAGCCATTGAAAAACAGATTTGATCTTCTAATGTTTTTAGTTTCTTGTCTTGGCCGGTTAAAAGATGCCCAAATCGTATTTTGAATCATATCTCAACTTTTTCAAATGGAACGAGGGTGACTCATTAGCATATATGGGAAAAGCATTTTTTACGAATAATTTGGTACCACACACTTGGTATTTCGAGTCAAATTGTCGTTATGAATCGCAAGTTGCAATTTCAAATTAACCATATTCGAAAATGTCTAAAGTTGACATATGATATGTCATTTTATTCAGAATGTCATTTTCTATCGAGTAAAATAACAAAGTACCAAGAATGCCGTTTAAAAATCAAAAGTTGTAGTCACTTACGGTGAAACAGGAAGTAACCGAAAACAATTGAATACGTCAATCAGTTCTAATTTACGTCATATACTAATAAACCAAATGTCGATTTTTATCTGAAAAAAATTATAGGGATGAGCCACTTTTGAGATGCACCCGGTATAATTAATATTTCTACGTGAATAATAAAAGTATTTTTACAGGCTTAACCCCACGAGAGATGGCACATGTTCTTTTAAACATCCTTTATAGTACTACTGTTTAATTATTACACGTTCCTTTATCTTTATTATAGATACCCCATGGACAGCAACTGGGTATTTGTCCTGGTGAAAACTTACTGGCTCTCCTATCACTACCTAGCCTCATGGGACTACCAAACTAGCGAATATGGTAAATATGGTGACGACGTTGTGACCAAGTTCATTCGAGCTTGTGCCGCTCTGGAACTAGCAAACAACTTGAAGACGATCGACAGTCGAACTGTGCGAAGTGCCTTGACAAAGAGCGTAGCAGAGAATAAAAATATTTCAGAATGTCTTTTAGAATTGTCAGAGAAGGACGAAAATGTACCGAAAGATCATTATTTGAACCCTAAAAAGTTTTACTAGTGAATGTATTTTTTACTGAATGATTTTTTTTTAAATAAAATATTATTTAAAATATGTTTTTCATTAAGAATTCCTCTAAAGTATTTTCTTGTAATTCAGAACTCATTTATCAATATACCCATGGAATACTGACATTTTAGATTATTTTTAAAGATGTACCAAATGTTTAAAGATTACAGACACTAATATTGTCGATATAGTTCGATTATTTTATTAAAAAATTAAAAAAACTGTTTAAATATTTGTTAAAGAGGATCAATTAATATGATTCCAGTATTCAAACTGCATTAATTGACTGTTTTGAGTTGATTAATAATAATTGCTCCAAATACCAAAAAAAAATTTGGTATGTGTATTAGACAGTGTGGCAAAAAGTAACACCTTAAAAATGATATTTAATTTTTTGACAAATGTTTATTTATAACAGAGACGTTCATTTTCATAACTTATTTATTATATTAATTTCTGATTCAAATCCACATTTATTAAGAATAATTTATTAACTAACACAAGTGAGTATGTAATTAATTAGTATTTGGGTGGAAATAATAGTGGTATATTTAATTAATGGTATACTCTTGTATAAAGATTTAAATAGTTTTCTTTTTGCGTACAAATGGGCTAGTAATATTATCGTTTTGCTAAAAACGAAAATATTACTAACCTGTACATTTTGTACATTTGTTGCTTTAAAAATAATCTAAAATGTCAATATTCCATAGGTATATTGATAAATGAGGTTTAAATTATAAGAAAATGTATTTTCTACGAAAACTTGAAGGGATAAGTAAAAAGTGGTGTAATACAATTCGATAGAAAATTAAATTGTGCATCTTATTCTCCTAAAATATACAGAGCATTCCATTTAAATTAAACAAGTTATTACCGTTTAAAGCTAGTAATTATTTAAAATAAATTTTTAGACACTCTAATAAGGTAGTATTATTTTTATTATTGCAACACAATAACTTCAATAAATATTTAGCATTAAAAACTTTGATACCCTCGGAGAAATGAAGCCTTAAAATTTTTACTGCAATCTTACAAAATTGAAAATATTTCAAAAACGGTAAGGTTTAAGTGTAATAAACATTAATCAAATTTACCTTTATTTTAATCGTAGAAACTAAAAATGTAATAATATACAGGGTGTTCCATTTAAAAAAATACATCTTTGATATTTTTTATTTATTTGGGACACTCTGTATCTTGTAAAAATATTTTTAAATTGTAGCTCTAATAGTCCTTCAACGAATCCAAAACTTACAATTTGTAAAAATCTAATTGTTTAGCTACAATACTCCGTGTCGTATGTGATGAACAACCCTGTATAATTATTTATTCTAAAAGTGCTAGGAAGTATAATTTGTGAAAATTCTGAAAATAAAAAAGTAAATATTTTGATGCTTTTACAAGGCCTAACTTGTATTACACGATTATCATTGCGTGCTAGAGGTACCTGGGGCTATTTCGGTTATAACGAATTTTTTCTTTTTTGAAGGTACATCATTATAATTTTAGATGTTCAAAAAGTTAAGCACTAGTTGATATAAACAAGTATACCATTAATATTGCAAATCATAATTTATCTTCTCATAGCTCATAACCTATATGCCTATTTAATTTGACAATAAATGACAATAAAAAAGTTGTATTACAATTATTTTTATTTTTATTTCAAAAAGTCCTTGAAACTAGATTTCTTATCTCAAATGAACAAAATAGCGACATCATAAAAATTTATCTGATGTTTAGGTAACTTTTTGGCTTTTATCTTTTAATTATATAAACAAATAACACTGTATCATTATTAGCAATTATTTTTAATTTTAATAACAAATCTCCATACGTTTTCTCTTATCTAATTAAAAATTTGAAAATACGTTATAGCGATTGACTTGCGTCATTTTTAGACAAATATTATGTAGAATTGAACGTAATTTATTTTTTTACCGAAATTTTATTTAGAGTGGTTAATAATTTATAAATCATTAATTTTCTTTTTCTGGTTAGAAAAAAAATCGGATTAAATGCATTGTTTTTGTCTAAAGTAAAGAATTAGATCACTGAGAAAGAATATAAAATAATGTAGAAATTAAAAGCTATAATATAATTATTAGTTATAAATTAATGTGGGAGTAACAGAAGATGTTGAAATAAAATTTGGGTAAGGCAGGGGTGTATATTGTTTCCAGTGTTGGTTTAACTTATATGTGGAAAGCACATTCACTGAGACAATCTCCGACAGTCCCATTGGTATGAAAATAAAGGGCATTCCAATTAATAATATCCGATATGCGGATGACACAGTGATATTGGCAGACAATGCAAATGATCTCCAAAATCCTCCTAAATAAAGTTAACAATGAAAGCCAAAGACTGGGTTTAAACATTAATACTAGATAAACTAAATTTATAGCTATTAGCAAAAACAACATTTCGAACACCAGTATTTACTTAAATGGAGAGGTCATGCATCAAGCAGGTCTCACAATTTACATACTTGGGATGCCTGGTTATTCAAACGTGGGATTCAGATCAGGAGATTAAATTCAGGATCGAGCCAGCAATAACCATTTTTTCAAAACTTCGAAGGTTTTTCACAGATAGGAATTTAAACTTCGGCCTCTGTACAGGGTGGGTCAAATTTGACGCTTTTAAATGGAAACACCCTTTCTATAGGAGATAGACGAAAACTAATATCGATGTCTGTAGCTCAATTTTCATCAAAAACATGATGGTGAAAATCGCACATCAATATCTGTTACCGTTTCGGAGTTACGGGGTGTTTTTCAAAAATATACATTTTTAACAAATCGCTGTAACTTTTTTGCTAAGGAAAATTTTAAATTTCTATGAAAACATTTCCAAAGCACCTTTTTACGTAGAATTTAATGGTTTAAGTATAATCTAAAATTAATAATTTAAGAGTTATCAACAGAAAAATTAATTTTTTATTTGGGACACCCTTTATATTTTTAATTAATTGAAAAGAATTTAAAATTACCTTTCCAAAAATATAGCACACTTGATATTTTATTATAATCCCCTTCGAAATACAGAATTTTTAAAAGATCGCCACTTTTAACTAGTAGGCTTTGGACCCCTTATTGATGGTATGCCCTTAATGGAACTCGAAAACATATTTTTCCAGCAAGACGACACACCGCCTCTGAACGCTGAAGTTATCAGCAAAATTTGGCAGCCAATTTCAGAAATAATTGAATAGCTAACCAAGATCCCAGCCGTTGGCCGTCGAGGCCGCCTGACTTAATGGCCGTGGATCTAATCCTATGGATATATTTGCTGAAGAATAAAGGTTCCTTATTCTTCCTTATAATCTAGACAAGAATTAGAAATACAGTCAATACTTAGGAGTTATGGGAGGATATCTTCCACTGAGTTAATGAATTCCGCGAGAAATGTTCAAAAACTGCCCCGTCTGTCCATAACAGAAGGCGGTCGATATGTCGAACACCTGTAGCAAAATCTCATGTTTTGGTTTGCTATTTATTTTTATTGTTATTAGATATAGTTTAAATATGTTGATGTTGGTTAAATATATTTTAAATTGTTATAAAATTATGCATCTCTCGTAGCAAATATTATTTTCGTTTTAATTGACGCTCACAGCTAGAATTTTTTTTCAATACAGCCGGTGCCGTTCAAAGCCTACTTATTTAAAGCGGGCGAATTTTTATATACTCTATATCTCGAAGGGGAATCGAGCAAAATATCAAGTGTGTTATATTTTTGGAAAGGTAATTTTAAATTCTTTTCAATACATTAAAAATATACAAGGTGTCCCATATAAAAAATTAAATTTTCTGTTGACAATTCTTAAATTATTAATTTAAAAAAAAATATACTTAAACCATTAAATTCTACGTAAAAAAAGTGCTTTGGAAATGTTTTCATAAAAATACAAAATTTTCCATAGCAAAAAAGTTACAGCAATTTGATAAAAATGCATATTTTTGAAAAACACCCCGTAACTCCGAAACGGTAACAGATATCGATATGCGGTTTTCACCATCATGTTTTTGACATAAATTGAGCTCCAGACACCGATATTAGTTTTCGTCATCTCCTATAGGAAAGGGTGTTTCCATTTAAAAGCGTCGAATTTGACCCACCCTGTACACAGCTCTCGGTACGTATTTCTATATAGTAAAAATGTTTTAATTGTTGTTGTCATAGATATCGATCGGCCCCAAGGGGTGTCTCGCTTGGGTAAAAAATGTACACGTACTGCTAAAGTATCATCTTACTACCAAGCGACTGCCGATGACTGCGAAGAAGACTGCCTATGACTGCCATGTAATTATTTCAGGCGACTGCGGTAAGACTGCCAATGACTGCCAACGACTGCCAATGACTGCCAACGACTGCCAAGAAAATGTACATGTAATTCCACTAGTGAGACAACCCTCGATCGGCCCTATGGCAGATATCGCAACTTTGTATCGACGAGGATCGGTATCTCTACCGTGTCTTTGTTAACCTCACGGTAGTGATACCGATAGTCGTCAGTACAAATTTGCTATATGTCCTATTATGACCGCTAAAACTATGACAACAACAATTAATAACACGGCGCTCATTGGCAGTATGTACCGATAGCTGTCGGTAACTTAGCGATACCGACGATTGTACAGAATAACGCCCCAGATCTGTATACGGTTTTGTATTCTCCAGGTTTTCCAGTCGCTAGACACACCATTTGGTAGGTGCTTTCTAAGTGGGTAGTGGGAGGGAGGTTCATCCAAGGGGTGGCTTAGGAAACGGCGTCTGGATTTAAGTCTACTTAAGCCGCACTCTTGGTCAAAAATTGAGTGACGAACATCAAAGGTTTATTTTAACTTCTCAGCATGTTCATGAGCTTTTCTGCGTAAACTGGGGCTTCTAAAACCTACGGCCTTGTAAATGTTTTCTAAGGGGGTGGGTTTCATACAACCACTATTCTGCATGTTTCATTCAGGCTAATGTTCATCTTTTTGCATGGGCAGATCTACATCACACTGGGCAGGCATATTCAG